TCTTAAACATAATAAAAAATAAGGGACATATATTCTTGTTTATGTTCCTGTGTGTGCATATTTATAAGGACTGAGCTTACTTGGCTTACTATAATAAGAAATTCCATTGGGAACAATACCTGACCATTAGCATTCTTATGAAATTAAATGTATAAAAATTTCACAGATGCAAATAAAACAAAACTCCATTATTGGTAGAGTAGGCACTCATATTGTTACTTTGCAATCCTATTTCATCTAACCGTGTCATAATGAGCCCTTTTCAACCATGGTGCATGGTAATATTGTGCATGGAGAAATCAGTCAGTCAGTGAACAAAACTAAGAGCTAGCTACTTTTACTAAAATAGTAGAATGAAGCATTGTGGCAATTGGATTGAAAGCACATACAAAGGATTTGAAGATATTGTGGTAATGCTGATCAATGGTGACAAGACAAAGACATTTTTAGACGATTTTGTGAAAGTGAAAATTTTCACATGTATTATTATCTGGGTTTTTGTTCTTTCACAAGACCCCAGTGGACAATACTTTTTTTTGTTTTGTAGGCCTTACGATAGCTTGTATAGTGGTAAGCTATAGTACATTCTCAGTACATCCTAGTTCCTGACTTATTTTGTTTTGATTTAGAGGACTTCATTCTTGATCTCATAATAATTTCTTCAATAACTAGACAGAGTTAACAGTGCCAACAAACAGGCTGAAACACCAGATAAAAAAGAAGGATATTATTTGCTTTTCTTGGGACAAAGTCAAGGAAGTAATAATGCTGTTATTAAAGAAGGCTCCAAATGCTTCCCAGAACCTCAGAAAATCTTATTGTAATAGCAAAAGGTGTCATCTCCCAAATTAGGTACAAAGACTGAAGTATACATATGATTTTCCCCAGTATAATGAGCATTTTTGCAGTTTTTCTGAGAATATCAAGAATGAAGTTTTCCCGAGAATCTCATAAAGAAAGTACTGCCAGGTATGGTGGTGTGCAGCTGTAATCCCAGCACTTGGGAGGCTGAGACAAGATGATTGACACGAGTTTAAGGCCAGGCTGGGCTGCACAGTGAGTTCAGGCCTGTCTGAACTACATGGTGAAATACTGTCTCAAAAAACTAAAATAAAACAAAGCAAAAATAATAAACTATCTTAATGATACTTCTCTGCATAAGTCCCTAGGGGGATAGTAAACAAACTATGCAATTAAGTTTAATTCCAAGGACCAAGTATATCACTTAATTCACAAGGTGAGACTGAACTGTTAAATCTAGTTTACACTAGCAAATTCAGCTGTAAGTTTTTATAATCTAGGTTATTTTTCCTGGTACAGCCATGATTTGTGTATAAGGCGAATCGTACTTTTTACTTTATGGACATTTCTAAGGCACATTCTGTGCCTCAGAAAATAAACTAGAGATATCTTTGTGATCTTAATTATGGGAAGAAGAAGGTTGGCATGATCTGTCAGATTCATGGCAGATAGTTTTTGAAATCACACATATGCATTACCACTTGGGCACTTGCTGGTACCAGTTATGTTCTTTAGCACCATGGGGTTGGAAGATAGTTGATCAGCATCAGTCTATCTTGCTTGTACAGTTGAGAACAACACAGATGTTTTTAAAACCTGAATAACATGGGAATATACATTTCACTCATGCAATGGTGTGAATTAAGGCAAATCCCCAACTAAGTATTGTTAGGGGAGTGGAATAGTTTCTATAAACCAAGCCAAAAGTATTTCATACGCCGATTATAGGAAAGAATTGCAGAACTCATGTCTTCCTTCCCAGTGCCTTGAAAAATGAAGCATCATAAGCCATTTCTCAATTTTTTTTTGCCTGCGTGATCAAGTGGCTGACCCAACTGCCACCATCCAGAGTAGCAGTAAGTACTGCTTGCTGTCTTTGAATGCATGGGTGCAAACTATTATGTTTTCAGGATGCACAGACCTATTTGAAGGTAATGAGATTCTTCAGAGTATTGGTGAGTCTTCATTATCGTTACTATATTTTTTTGGCTTATATGGAAATGATTTCAGAAATTACTTGCTTAAGGAGATAAATAGAAAAAGAGTACTATAAGAAATGCAAAATAGAAAATCTTATATTGGTCAGTAAATCTTGACAATAATTACATTTTACCTTTTTAATGTTTAAAAGTGACTATTACCTCTAAAATTTTTGTTCTTTTATCTATCAAATACTGAGAAAGATGTGTTGAAATCTCCTGTTATGGCTGTAGATTCCTCTAACTTTTCCTTGTGGTTCTGTTACATATTTTGCAGTTGTGTTATTAAGTATACACAAATGTAAACATAATACATCTTCCTGTAGCGTGAGACTTCTGTCATCATGAAATGTTACTCTTAGTGATTCTTCTGCAATTAAGATGATAGCAATATTGACTTCCTTTTAGTTAGTGTTTACATGTATTTTTTATTTTTGATATTTCTGAATTTTTAAACTTAAAATGTGGCCTGTCTTCAGAAAGGTTCTTACTGTGTTGCCCAGGCTGATCTCAGACTTTGGGTTCATGTGATCCTCCTGCTTCTGCCTCCTTAGTGCTGAGATTACTTTAATATGTATTTCTTACAAGCATTAGATAGTTGAGTTTTATTTTTCCAATCTGATAGCCTCTGTCTTTTAAGAAGAGACTTTATATCTAATAGAATTAATGATATTTATGCTTAAATCTTCCATTTCACTATGTGCTTCATTTTTTCTTTTTATTTCCTTTTTGCCTTATTTTGGACTTATATAGAATTTTTATTCTTCTATTTTTCTCCTTTTTGCTTGTTAGTTATACATTTTTAAACTCGTCTTTCAGTTGTCACTTTTAAAGATTATAATATACATATTTGATCTATTAAAACATAATCTAATAAATAAAATAAAATGAAAACAATCTACATTTCACTTTTTCTGCTTTCTGGATAATACAAGAGCTATAGAAAATGTCTTTATTTAGCCTTCTATCAAACTGTGGACCCTTACACTGTATATTTTAAATTTATTTTTTGGATAAGCAAAATTATTCAGATTTACCTACATATTCACTTTTTAAATTGCTCCTGTACATGTACCAGCTCCCTACAATAAATGTAATCATTCACAGTGTAAAAAAATGAAAAATAAAATAAAGTAAAATTGACTCTTGAACAATCTAAAACCACTGAACCAGTAATAATTATAATTATATTAAAGATAACTATTTGTGGAATAATAGTGTAGTTTAGAAAGCCAAACTTAGATAAATCCTGGAGAAATTGCAAAAGCAATCTAGGTAGGATTTGTCTCCTCATTTACAAATATTTAACTTTTGTAAGAATCTTTTTATTTTAACTTTTGTTTTAACACTGTTGGGGATTGAACCCAGAGGTGCTGTATAACTGAACTAATCTCCAGGTCCCCCCACCAACTCTTTTTTAGTGTGACACAGGCTCTCCCTGTTTCTTGTTTCCTTCCAATTTGAGGTTTACCTGCCTCAGTTTCTGAGTAGCTTGCGTTATAGGTGTATGCCGCCATACCCCACAGATTGTCAACCTAAATCCATTGCACTTTTGGAGGGGAACATTTCTTTCCAACTCATTCTCCATCCTTAGTTTGAAGTCAAGCTGACAGCTAAAGAAATCTCCCACCAAGAGATTTAGTGGGAGAATCTCAAATCTCGAATCTCTCACTAGGATCAAGCTTCTCTACGCAAACTGGGGAGCCGTGATAAAAGTCGGCCTGCAGTGGGATGGGAGCCAGGAGTGTGAGATCTTGGTGCTTCTAGTCAAGTCTGTGACTTTTGGTGACACAGATCCGATCTGTCTTCAGGCAGAGGCTGGGACACTTATCTACATTCTAGGTCAACTGGTGATTAAGAAATTTGTAGTTACCAGAAACAGGAACAGATGGGGAGTCAGATTTTAAGTAACACATATTTTAGTTAATACTGGGAGGTGTCAGCAAGTGTCAGTGGTCAGGAAAATATACAGAACAAAAGGAAAAATTAATTTTAATGAATATGTATTGAATCAAAGGTTAGTGGTTGGTGCCAAGGGTTGATTGTCGGGAAGAATAGCTAAAATGTGTATTCATGGAAAGAAGGGGCCATTTACTAAGGTTTTGCTATTTTAAGGTGCAATAATAAATGCTTTAATTACTTTACTGGTAGGAAACATTTTACAATGGGGGAAGAAATTAACGCCACTAACAACTTCCCAGAGAGCACTGATAGAATCTAAATTGAACCCTTTTCTGTTTGCCTGCCTTCAAGACTTGTAGTTCTTCCCTCCACTCATACCACAGGGACATGACCAGGGCATGAAATTCTGGAAATGCATCTGAGGCTGGGGAATAAGCGAACCTTGCCCATGGCACACAGCCAGCAGTAGGAGATGCGGTTTCCAGCGAGCTTGTGGCAGGAGCAGCTGCCCTCTGGTTCTCTGCAATACAGCAGATTGTAGTAACTTTGCACAGAGAAACCAGGTATAATCAACTGGACATGAGTGAATCTGTCACTAAGACCAAGCTCCTGTACTCAAACCAGGGAGCCATGATAAAAGTTGTCTAGGCCCCAGTGAAGGTGGGAGTCCATAGTGTGCAATGTCTTTGTGATTCTAATCGAGTCTGTAGTTTTGGGCGACACAGGTCCCATCACAATTTCCCCATCTGTCTTCAAAGGGCTCCAGTTTTTAAGCACTAGTCCCTTTTAAGGCTAAAGGGGGCCCAGCGCCCTGTTATTGCCCTTCACTGGATACCTCAGCAATCTTTCTTGATTCCCTTGATTTTTGTTCCTTTATTAAGAGAGCCTCTTCAAAAAACCCAGGTGAGAGCGCAGGCTGATCCCTTAGGATCTGCCTGTTAGCGCAGAAAGCCAAAGTCAGAGCAGGCCAGCTAAAGTCTCTGCAACTACCAAGACACCCTGGGCAGACAGACGCAGCCTGCAGTTGAAGTGGTCTGCTCACAGATGCCTGATCTCTCCAGGGCAAGGACGTTGAAGCAAAGTGTTGGAACATCTGAGTGAGAGTACAGAATTTTGGACACAGTCAACATGCTCTAAAATGGAGATAATCTGTATTGCTTCATATCCAAAGCTGATCTTAATATCTGTGTGTACTGGGGGAAGGTAAGAAATAGGGAGTGCCGTCAGTGGCAATAGACAAAAGGTTTGGAGGAGAGGTCTCTGGGCCAACACACGCCTGCTTTGCAAACATAATTCCAGGCTCACTAAGTCAGAAGTGTACAGAGAGTGGAGGAGACTGCATGTGTGCCTCTGTGCCCAGGTACTTTTTCTTTACATGTATGTGACGGAGTGGGTGTGTGCCACACCTCCCCTTAAAGATAAATAGTAATCGCCAACTTTTATGAGCTCCTGAGTGCCTACATCCATTCCATTAGAGTGGACCTAACACTGTGCTGGCTGTCCAGGCCAGGACATTGGCACAGAAAGGTGAGGCTCGTGGGTCCCACAGTTAGGAATTTTTGAGTGGGGAACTGTCGAGCCTGTGGTCCTCACCACCTCTGATACCGTCTCTGTGCCCGACTAGTAAGAGGAAGCGCCTCCCTGCGCTTCATTCACCGTCTTAGCTCAGAAACTAGACGACACCTGGCGGGAAGCAGATGCTTCACCGTTGCTGACTCCAGGCGTGCGCTGTGTTTAGTTGGGCATGAGATCTGGGATAGGCAGGCCCACAGACGCTCCTAGGACAGGAGGGAAACTTTCTGCCCGCAGGACTGGACTGTGCAGCCGGGTCAGGGCGTTTGGACCGCAGCCGGCGACATTGGCTCCAGCGGGGAAAGGCACGGCAGGCAGCGCCCTGCTGCACAAACCAGAAAAACAGCCTCCCGGGCGGGGAGCCCGCGCCCCGCCCCCGGCCGCCCAGCCGAGGCCCCGCCCTGGGTGTGGGGCGGCCCGGGACCGGACTCTGCACCCCCAGGTGCAGCTCCTGCCTGCACGCAGCCTCCCGCCGCCCATGGAAGGCGCCCAGCCTGCGCCGTCGCCGCGGGACGAGCTGGAGCTGTCGGAGCTCGGGCAGCCGCCGGGGGAGCAGACGCCGCTCAATGGGGCTGTCCGCGTCCTGCCGCGCGCGGCCGAGGACCCCGGCCCGGCCCAGGTGAGGCCCCGGCGCTGGCCGGTCCGAGCGCTCGCTCCCGCACAGGCGCGGTCCCGGTGACGGCGGCGCGCTCGCTCCGAGCAGGGCGCCACCTCGGGGAGCCCGCGCTGGGCACCGACCTGGGGCGCCCGAGCAACCGGTGAGGGGCGGCCGCTCCCTTCTTCGGAAAAGCCTGCAGACACAGCTGGTTTGTGGAGTCCTGGGCAGCTTCATTGAATTTTTCTTTTTCAACCCGAGAAAAAAGGCTGATTCATTGTCTGTCCCTCTCTCCTGCCCTGCCCGCTCTCTCTCTCCCCTTCTCCATTTTCCCATTCATTCAGAGTCCCCATCCACTCTCACCTCCCTCTCCCAGGTCACCCCCATCGCCCGGACACTTTCGGGTTTCTCCCAGCTTGGCTGTCTCTGTGGGCAGGAAGAGGGTGCAGAGCAGCCAGAGACAGAGTGGCACAGCCAGGAGGGCTGAGCCGGCCCAGGGAGGGGCTGGAAAGGAGAACTTGCTGCCTCTTTCGAGGGGAATAGTTTCTTCGCAAACCTCCGTTAGCTTTTTCCTCCTTTTCATCCCTGAGGAAGCTCTTGGTGGTGTGTTGAGGCTGAGCTGTTATCTAATGAGATGGTAGTAGCGATGGAATATTATTCACTCATGTCGAATAACTTGTGAAACACCTGGGCCTCTGACGTCCGAAGTAACCTCTTCCGATTAACCCTCAAGACTGGCTGGAGGTTTATTAGGACCCGGGAACTCCCCCCATCCGTAATCCTAGCCTGATATTCCTCGGCCTCCCTGCTTCACTCCCCCACCCCTTTGGTTGCCCGATTGACTTTAAGGGAAAACAGGAAATTCACACTTATTTTGTTCCACACGGATTCCTAGAAATACTGTGCATGGAAGTCTTCTTTTTTATGGTTACCCAGGGGAGTACATGGCTGACTTGTATCTGAGTGAAAGAGAGCCCCAGCCGAGTGAAGCTTGGACACGATGGCCGATCACCAGGGCTAGCGGCCATGGCCATGCACTTGCTGCGGTTGCGGCGTGGGTATTAGGGATGCTGGCCCCACGTTGGCTAGACCGCGTACACCCACAACTCTACGGTTTGAGTTTGTTCTGGTGATCGCTTTACCAACAAAAAATGTACTCCTGGCTTAAGGCTGTCAATGATGGGACTGTAATGACTCCCCGTGGGCTTCTGTGAGGCCTGGGTCAGCTATGGAAGGAGGTGAGGAAGGGCACCTGCCGAGTCCATGCTGGCTCTCAGCGCTTTATAATTATTTATCCTTCACCTTGAACAGGTTGCTTATTCAGGTTCTGATTCTTTGTTAGTCAGATATATACAGATACTCAAGACTTCCCTGTAATTGAGCTTTGTAGGTCACCAAATAGGGAAGCCAGGGTGACTAATAGGAGGCAGTGGAGGAGAAGATGGAGGTGCGCAGACAAAACTTTAAAATTCCCCTACCTAGTGTGTTCATCATTATCTGCTCCTATAGAATAAGTTGAAGTGTATTTCAGCTCGAAAGATCCATCAATTAATGTGAGGTCATTAAGTGTGAGACATAATTGGATTTATGTATCACAAACTTAAGAGGAAGATGCTGCTATTCTGACTTGATAGAGGAAAGAACTGAGTGAAGCAGAAACTGAGTCTCAGAGAATTCTTAAAATGCGCAGTGACACGGAGGTGTCCCCAAGTCTGCACTCAGGTCTGTGCTGTTTCCACTGATTCCACCTGTGTGTCTGCCTATCTGTGTACTTATCCATCTACCACATATATATGCAAATGTGATTTATAATTGTTTATGTACTGTTGACTAAACTACAAATCATATACTGCTCATTTTGGCAAATTAGGTCTCTTATAATCAGGTAACTTGAGCGAACTGTGAGAGGCTGAGAGGAGCTTCTGGCTGACAAGGGACTCACAGGTGAATGTTGGGGAGGGAGCACTTCTGGGTCAGTGGAGAAGACAGGCCGGGTCACTGGTATCTGCCTGCCCAAGAGAGCCGGACTGCGGATGTATACAAAGACATAGAGAGAATGTTTTACCTCCATTTTCAATCTGGGTTTAGGGGTTATGGAAAAAGGGATGTTAGTCACTGAGTTTCACTTTACTATCACTGTAAGCGTGTGAATATCACTAGGTCAAAAGTGAGAAGGAAATTACAGTCAACAGAATGAGACTGATTTTTTTTTTATGGCATGTGACAGGGCCTTTGACTCAGAAGTCCTGGGAATATTTTGAGTGATGTTAGGATTGTTATCTTAGTAATAAAAAGTGAACTAGTAGTTTTCAGGCAAGCAAGGCTTATCTGAATGGGCTCAAAATTCATCCCATTGCTACGCATCATTCACTAGTCTAGGGGGTTGATCAGCTGACTCCTTTGTACTTGGATCAAACACATGAGTTAAATGCCACGATAAAGATGAAAAAGTACAGAATCTCTTATACGATAGGAAAAGTGTCTGCAACTGTTGAGCCACGGAAAAAAGTTTTTTGCACACAGCAGATGACCTTAAAGGCTCCACCATTTGATTCCTCCTCTAGAATTTCTTAAAAAACATTCTTACAATTTTCAAGCTATGGAGTCTAGTGACACACATCTGTGATCTTAATATTTGACAGGAGAGAATCAGTGAGTTCGCTGCCAGCATGCATTGCATAATGGTTTCAAGGGCATCCAGGAATACAAAAGGGAGACCCTGTCTCAAAAGAAAAAAATTCTGGAACCTTCTGTGGCTAAGCAACACATATTTATGAAATGCCCACTGCCTGTGGGAGGCACAACTGTAGGATGTCAGCACAGGGAAGTTCAAGAAGCACCGCTCCCTCTCCACAGTTTCAGCGCACCCAGAAAGAAAAGGCTCGTCTCTGTGTTTGAACATGGGACCAGACAAGATATTCAGTAGCAGCAGCGCTGGGAGGTTGCACAGAGGACGTTGCACAAAGAATGGGTGGGAAGGAGGGCTTGACCTGGCTCTTGAAGGGTGGTGAGGCATCACATCAGGTGTTCTAATCCTTGTAAAGCAGTTGATTCACTTTAGGAGGTTAAAAATGGCAAGCCTGGGCCTGGTCTACTCTGAGCAGCGAGGGCCTATGATGTGTCCATTCAAATCCTCCCCAGGTGATTCGGTATGCAGCTAGGCTGGGGCCCCAGGAGATGTGTGAAGTGTCACCCTAGTGTGGACTGAAGACTTCCTTTTCTGATCCACACTACCACAAGAAGGATAGGAGAGAAAGTGAACAAGGTGTCAGTTCAAGAGTGCCTGAACTACTTTGTGGGATGGGTGAACACTCCCAGTAAATTGACTAGTGATTTCTCACCTTGGCTGAGCACCTAGTATCTGCTTAGCAAATGTGTTTTGCAAATAATCTCTAGTTTTTACAGCAGATCTTTGGGTTAGTTTTTTTATACAGAGATTACCCTTGACTTTCCATGGTTTTTAATAATTTTTTTTTTGGCTTTATGAATACACCTTCAGTACAACCCATACTTTGAAGTTAGACTTTGATCTTTTCTGGGGCCAGTGTTACTGTCTTGTGAGGGTGAGCAATGGCAGGCAGCCAAGCACAGCTTGCACTCGGCTGCACAGTGGTGAGAGTCTCATGATGCTGGGCAGTGTGCTGTGTTGCTAAGCTGCAGTGGTTGCAGCTTAGCATTTGCAGTTTGCACTATTTTTAATCTGGAATTGGTTTACTGGGATATAACCCATCATAAGTTGAGGCCACTGGGTCCTGTAAATTTCAGTAGCTTCCTCAAAGCACCCCGCCTTTAAATGGTGTACCATGGAATGGAATCCGGGTATTTGAGATTCAGAAACACATTATTTTTGTCCTCAATATTTCGTCATGTCTCATGGTCTCCTAGCTGTGCTTTGGGAAGTTGAAGAATCAAAACCATTTAGGGGAAGGGGAAGGCACTCTCCGTAGGGTTTCTTCAAGTAGGGAGGTTATGCATGAAAGGTAGGTCAGGAGAGCTCTGAGGTTACCCCCGCAGGGATCAGTCCTGCTAACCTTTAAAGGGCAAGCTGGAAATGGGCTAATATATACCTGGAAGAGTTGCCAGGATTATGTGAAATCACACTGGTGCTCCCTAAACCAAAGCAGCAGTAATAATTTTCTTTGACCCTACACTCTGCCTCACTGCACACCTTGAAGCTTATGTGCTACTGATATGTGCATCCATCCTTTTGTTTCCTTTCCCAGATCTCTTTTTATGTAGAATTGAGGCCATAGCAGCAGCCTTTTAGCTTTTTCTTGGTATGCTCAGTTTAAAGAACATATCTCTCTCTTCACGCCCAACTCAGCTCCTGTGTTCCAAAACCTTCAACCAGTGACTAGTACACGCCAAAATGAGTCTGGTCTTCTCCGGCATCAATCAAACCTCAGAGGGTTGGTCCAACCCTACACTCTACCCTCAGCTTTCATTATGTGTCTCTGACACCTGCATTCTGATCCTCAGACTCCACTGCCGGCTGGCTGTCAGACCCTCTGCGTGGTTTTTCCTGGGTTTGGAGTGCCTTCGAAACCCCGCCTTTTATGCAGGAAGCTAAACATTGCACGTTCTGATTTACATGCAGAAGATAAAGGATTGTTCTTATAGAAATAGCAGACTAGTGATTTTCAGAGTCTGTAAAAGGTGTAGAGGAGGCAGAGAGAAAGAAAGATAAACACATGTAAGAATTGGAGAGGAGGAATAAACCTCTGTGTTCTACGGCACATTGGGCACCTATGTTGACAACAATTAATTGTATATTTCAGAACAGTAGAGACGGTTTTGAATGTTTCTAATACAAAGACTGATAAATGTCTGAGGTGGCAGATGGAAGCATCACCCTAATCTGATCACTCTACCCTATATGCAGATATTGAAACAGCACATCGAACCCTGTAAAAGTGTACAATTGCGTGTTAACTAAAAGTAACATGTGTGCATATTTAAACTATAAAGTTTGTCTTTCAAAATCCTACCTGTCTTTTCTACGTCAGAGCCCCCAAAGCATTTTGTTGCTGAGTTTTTTGTGTGCTTCCATTCTATCCAGTAGCTGTTCCTGTAAACTTGATTTATAAGCAGGCAGCCCCTGAAGGTCAGGACTGCGCTGCCTTCGATTCTGTATCACTGATCCCCTAGGAGGCCAACATATTTATTAAGACCAAATGACTCTTTCTTTTCTTTCTAGGCTAATAAGGAAAATCCCTGGCGCTCTTGTAATAAAACTGTTGTCGGAAGGTGTAAACTGTGGATGGTCATCGCCTCCATTTTTCTAGGTCTCATTATCGTGATCATCTTAGGCTTATGTCTCACTGGAGGTAAGAGGATTTCCAAGTGACTCAATGGACACCTTTTAAGAACTTGTTTAATGCTTGTGACTTTCATTAAAATGGAAAAACTATTCATTGCTAGTTCACTCTATATAGCATAAATTATGTGAACAAGTTTTGACCCCAAACTGGGTCCTCCTCTTGAAGCATGTGCTCACTGAGCAGTGAAGGAGATTTTTTGATTTTTAGCCGGGAGTAGAAGACTCAGGAGATGGATTCCCCCGATCAACTTTTCTCCCTTTGGGGCGCATACAGATATAAGGTAAAAGAAATGGACAGTGGAGGATTGGCTAATAAAGATGAAAATTAGTCACATCTTTTGTGGGAATGAGCAGAGATTTTCCTGGGAATTCAGGCACCATCTCTTTTTACTTCTGGTGTGGTGCTTTCCTGTTACTGTCCTGGCCACTTGCCAACTGTGGTGGAGCTGGGGAGGGTGTCAACATGCAAATGAAATTATAATGAAGCTGGAGGTTGACTGGTGTCATTCTGGCCCCTTTTGATTGCTCACAGGAAGTACTTGCAGGCTTTGAAGACAGCCAGCTCTTAAAGGAAAACAGGATTTAGGGTGCGGTCCGAATTAATTAGGTCACCTGGGCAGTCTAGGATTAAGGTGGGAGGACTAATTGAAACTGCTTGAAAACTAATTGAACTAATTGAAAACTGGTTTGGAGTGTGTGGTGTGGATAAGATCTTTTTTTGTTGTTTTATTTTGTTTGTTGTGTTTTTATAAATTCCAAAAGTGTGAAGACCAGTGTTTTATTTTGAATTCTGCTCATAGGAACCTCTTAAAGAGGTTTTCTAAATTTTTAACATAAATAAGCACTAATGTATATTTTGTTACATTTGAGGTCATGCTTGTGTGGTTTTTTTTTTTTTCATTTTACAATTTGTTCAATAAAAGTAATTGTCAGGCATATCTTTATATTTAACACGATAAAATCATGAGTAATATATTTGAGTTTTAGAAAAATTTATAGAACATGTCTCTGCAAGCTATCATTATTTAAATTTATGTTAGAAAGTTTTATTATATTTTGTTGTATATGTATATAAAACAAATGTACCTTTGCTAATGACCTACTTTATATTGTTATTTATTTGAATTTAAAATGACGCATATTCAGTTATCCATATAATGCATTAATATTGTTCATATTAATAGTTACATGTTCTTTAGTCTTGCATTTTTAAAATAATTTGAGATTGAGTTTTTTCTTAAGGATTTTAATGTTATATTGAGATCATTTTGCCAAGTCACTATTTTTAAATCCTTTTAGGTTATCAATTTTGTATGATTTTAAACAAGTTCTTATGATACATACAAAGTATGCTCCAGTGCACAATCATTTCTGTCAGTAGGAAAGAAGGAAATTGTTTTCATTGTGTTTGTGGGTGAGGATGGCTGGGTTTCCTAAGGGTGATCTGGCCTCCCCAAGGATTGGGGTTAACACAGTTATAGGATGAGAACAAGAATAGGGAGTTCTTAACTTTCTTTGGAGAGAGTTCTAAGGAGTTTGCCTCAGGAAAATATACTCGCCATTCAGCTGCCTCTCTTTCCTTTCCAAGCCCCTTGATTTCCTGACTCAGGTTTTGTAGTTTATGAAAGAACAGGGAAATTTAAAGGACATCAGCTAACTTCAAGATATGATTTTCTAGACAGACGCTATGTCTACTCGATTACTTGGAACTGTGTTTTGGGGGGGATTTATGATTTTTCTGAGGCCACAGGATGGTTTTAGGTATTAAACTGTGCACTCCATCATGCAGAGGATGGTAGTTTTGGGTGACATTGACACTTCCTTTTCATATCAACTCCCACATATGGTGCAAAATTCCTGAAAGGTGATAGATTTATCTATCTGGTAATATCCGGAATTTATCGCTAAATATTTCTAGGTGGTTGATTATTTAGGGTTCTAAAGTACAAGAACCAAGATCTATCTTCCCTTCTCAGACAGTCACCTGACCTCAATTTACAAAGAACAATCTCCAAGGACAGGAGTTTCCATTTCCTGCAGCAGGTTTTAGGGAAACATAAAAGGTCATGTGGTGCTATTCAAGGAACAATTTTTAACACTTACAGGACAAACTTTATTTTTAATTTGATTGTAAATTTGTGTTTTAACATATGTTAATACTATAAGAGAGATTAAGCTATTTAAAAAAAAATCCAAGAAATCCTTTTATCTCCCTTTGGCATTTCAGCTGTTTGATCTTTGGGCCTGTAGGGAGAATCATGGAAACTACACAAAAAGCTTCAAATTTAAAGACAGAATGTGTTTTCTTACCTATAAAATGAAATACATTATTAATATTTTATTATATTTTCTTCTAATTTTTTAACTTGGCATTTTAAAATAGTTTGAGATCAGAGTTTTTATACCCTCTTAACCTATTTGTAGAATTTTAAGCTAGGTTAAAAAAAATAATTATCAGTTATAATGAGAACATTTTGCCTAGCCTCTAAAAATTAAGGGAAGAATTTTTTATGATGGAGAAGAATGTGTAATAATATATTGTAAAAAGAAGGTATTGTAAAAAAGGTGACAAGGGTCACCTCTCTTATAGTCCCATCCTTAACTATATCTGCTCTCTACCAACTTCTCAGATGACAATCTGCCAGTAATCAATCATTGCCTAAATGCCAAGGCCATTGATATGAATCAACTATTTGTACAACTCCCATGTACTATGTAGGAGATGTTGTCGTTTGGGGAAAGGGCAGGATGGGGAGCGTCAAGGGCTGTACTTACAGCTGACTGCATCCAGTGGGAGACCCAAGTTCCTCAAAAACTACATTTGCCACTCATCTCCTGCTTTCCTTCCTCCATCTCCTCAGTCTCCTGTCTCAAGGCCCTGTGTAGTCCCTTGACTGAATTCGGAGATAGTAACTACACTGTTGGATTGGATACAGAACAGGACAATAAATGCATTTGAGAAGGAGAGCATAGTAGGGGAGGAGAGCAGGGTACAAGAGCAGAGTGCCCACTGGTATATTGTCACCAACATCATTAAGAGCGGCAGTCATGTGGTGATATTTAAAGCAGGCTAGTAGTAGTTTGTACTAATGTCGCTAATGTCCACAGACTGTACATCCCCTATTACCCACAACTGGATGATCTCGACCAGATCTCTGCCCTGGTTGTACATTGAAACAATGGCAGAATCAGGGCCATGACTAAGCTTCAAGCATTGAGCATGAGCTGGGAAGAGAGGTCAATAATCCAGACTCATAGCTGACACTGAGTTTTATTTAAAAACAGCCAGTTTTATGGGGAGAGTCCAGGTAACTCTGTTGAGACTCGAGGTCTGATTTTGACCCAGCTTCATAATAATAATAATGATAATAATAATAATAATAATAATTGGATTATCTCCTATCTGAGGAATGAATGATAATGAAAAAAGAAAAGAAGAAAAGTTTCCCATCATTCAAACTCATTTTACTTTCTGGATAATTTAGGGAAGTTCCCAGTTAAGTATCTTCAAAGGTTTTCCTTTCCTCACTAACTCATCCCAGTGGGGAAGGGAGAGTCTCTGAGTAATACGCTACTTGTAAAAGTTCAACAAACAGGTGGGTGCTTAAAAATATGATGCAACACCCTGAGACCCTCTGTGATATTCCCCAGCATTGCAGATGCTTGCCTGACTCTCAATTTCTTCATTTGTGGGCCCTTCAGTGACAGGGAATGCCGGGGGACTGAGGAGTAAGCGGGGACTTTGTAAGTGGCAAGGTGTTGGCCAGCAGTTTTCTCAGGGCAGTCTCCCTGGTGTAAGGGGGGAAATCCTAGTCATAGAGCATTAACAAGCTATAATGCCCAGGCCCTTCAGAGCAGCGACATAATAGTAGCTCTGTAGACTTACTATCTTTATGTTTCTGCACATTTTCATCTTTCCTTCAGCCTTGTATTTTCCTCACTCACCAAAGCCAAATCCCTAACCTTTCGTTTCCACACAGTACCCTCTAGATCAGTGGCAAACCTGCAGCACACACATGCCACTGAGGGACATTTGTATAACCGAAAGCTCCAAAGGGCTCCCCGGCACTGCTCTAGGCTCTGACCCAAACATCATTAGTGTTTCCTTTCCGCTCTAAGCCTTCTCAGGGTCTTCTCAATTCTTCAAATGTGTTAGTAACAACTGTCCTTCAAAACAGTCTTCCATCAGATTCTTACTAATGTCATTTAGACTTTTTTTCTTTCCTTTCATTGGCAAAGTTGTAGAAAAAGAGGTCTGCATTTGGATCATGTCTTTTGCTTACTCCTAAATCTCTTGGATCTGTTGGCTCCAGATTATTATTTGCAAGGTTGCTAGCAATTGTGTAGTCATGAAACCTGACCCTTCTCCCATGTTCTACTCTGCTTTCTGCTAATTGTACTCCTCTGAGTCTACAGAACTTGAAGATGGTTTTGTTACTTTTGCTTTCCATCCCTAACTGTGGGTCCATGAGGCTTGTCTACAGCCTTCTTAATGTTCACACTTTTCATTCTTTCTCTAGGGAAGCTCATTCACTCTTAGGGCAGCACCTAGGAGGAAACTCGTGGATGTACAGAGTGTGATGAGAAAAATTATATACAGTGAATACTTACATTTAAAAGTTTATTATAGTAAAAGACACATTAATACCCTTCAAAACAATCCCTTCTCTTGTGCTACTTTCTGAAGTAGCCAGTAATCAATCTCTAGATACTAGAAATCATTTTTCACTGGTGTCTATGGTTGTACTGTCATGGCTGCTAAATGCTCTGAATGAATTCAAAATGCTTATTATTCATGGTCATTTTGATTTTGGGGAAGAGCCAGTAGTCACACTGCGCCAGATCCACTAATAAGGTGCATGAGGACAAATCGTAGTGTTTTCTCAAGCCAGCCTTTTAAACTGGATGGCAGTTGGCAATAACATTCGCTGTATTTTTTTATTACACCTCATGAAGACACTCACAGAAGAGGACTTCCAAGCCAAAGTACCTCAGAAAGTGGAAAGATCAATGAGATAAGTATATTGGAAATGAGAGGGAGTAAGGACAGTGTGTCTTTCATTGTAATAGTTTTACAAAATTAAATAATCACCGTATATTTTGATCAGACCACGTATATGTGCCACATTTCTTTGAGTCTTATGCTTTGTTAGAGATCTTGATGCACCAGTAACGTTCATCATCCCAATCCTTATCCACGTGAAATCACTCTCTGTTTGTATCCGTTCTGTTGGGCTGTGTTGATATTTCTGTTGTGGAAATAGCTTCAGAGATTTAAATGACTTTTTCAAGGTCACATGACTAATAAATAATAGGGCTGCGGATCTAAGTCCTGCTACCTATAAATCGAGCTTGGCTTTACTCTCCTGTCCTGCCTTCTTGCCTTCCTTCCGTGCCAGCCTCTGTTTTCTTTCTAGGAGATGTCTAGCAGCCTTCCATGACCTCCTGACCACATCTGGCATTTAAAGTGTCCCTCGTGTGCTTTAAAGAGCTTTAAAGAGCTTCATGTGCTCTAATTCATCTGAAGAACTCTTTTCATGTGCCTCCCACATACTGCATCTGCCTCTGTGATTTTTAAAACTCTCTACATGGAAAGTACTGTCCAGATTAAGTCTCATTACTAACATAGAACTCTCCTGACTACTGTTTGTTGCTGTTGTTGTTTTTATTATTTTGACAAACAACTATTTTGTCAGCTCTTGCTACAGATGCATTTAGAGGGTACAAGCTAAGTACTCTATGTGTCATTAGAGATATTATTTGAGTTCCTTTTTTGAATGTGGCTTCTAAGTACCCTTGAGTTTAGCAAGTATTAGACTCCCTGATATACCTTGCTAGTATCCTCTGTTCCTTTCTGAGGCGTGAATAGTGACTGTAAAAATCTGTCTGGGGTTATAGAGCTCAAAGATGAACTTTACAGCATTATTTTTAATAAAATTTTCTCTTCCACTAAGAAAATGAATGATCCTTTTATGAGCCATATATATATTGTCTTTTTCCTTTTTATTGGTACCAGGGATCGAACTCACAACTGCCTGCTTGCAAGGCAGGTGCTTATGCCGCTGAGCTAAATCCCCAGCCCCTATGAGCCTTATAAAGCCATTAAAAAATAATTTTTTCAAGGGATTTCTTGCAAATGGAGAATGGCTTTTGTTAACATCAAAAGAATCAAAACATGAACAATAGCCAACAATGACAAAAACAGGATATAAGTGATGTATTTAGTAGTATTACAAATATATAATATAAAATATGGAAGGAAATACATAATGTAAAATATACAGAGGAGAACTTCTTGATTAAAGGATTATTAATGGTTGTTTTTTGCTTTCTTACAGTTTTCTATTATTTGTGAATTTTTTGCTGTGATAGACTCTTATCATCCGAGTAATGCAATGACTTACAACAAATAAGAACATGAGGATAATTCCCTATGTTTGGGGTTCCTGGAAGTCATTCTGAGGTTCACTGGTTTGTTAGCATATAGTTTAGGTGCATTAAAAAATTTATTGTAGCAAAACCCAGGAGAACCCAGTCACAGCTTTAAAGAGTCAGCTCCCAGTGTAGTTATTTAAGATGTGCTTGATTCCTACTGCAGGGACAGAACACCTGAATATCATTAGATATCCCATGCCCCGGGTTCTCGTTGGGCATTGGTCATCTTTGCTTAGAGTGAACCAAAATTCAAGACTCCCAAAAGAAAGGGACCATTAACCACACTGTGGGCACAAACTTTTGAGGTTCAGCAATGCTGTTATGGGGAAATAGTGGGAACCTCCCCCAGACCTGACCTCTTAGGCCAGCTACAGGGCTAAACTTGAGCAGCTTTTAAAAACTAGAAATGTCAGGCCTGCTATGTTGACTCTTTTCTACATATACTTTGCCCCTAATGCCTCACATTTCCAAATTTCCTTAGGGAATTCTTTTTTTTTTTTTTTAACTTTCTCTTTCATTAAAACACTCAGTTTATTCCGCAGTGGGTTTTCAAAGTCCAGGAAGAGAGGCTGGTTTTGTTAATTGGAGGCAAGAGATTTAAGGCACTGTCACTGCGGAACTGGTTCCTCCCACCCACACCTTTCTCAGGGCCAGAGAGGTGGCTCTGAAGCAGGACCAGCCTGGGAGGCTGGTGAGGAGCCCCAGGAAAAAATGAGTACACCACTGCCAGCTTCTGGCTCCTGGCTTTGTTTTCTTTCAGCTCTAACTGCATAAAAATCAATTAGCCAGCAGTGTCTAGAACACAAGAGATGCAGAGCTCACTGTTGCAGGAAGCTGATGCCTGCTGGCCCTCAGGCAGTTTGGCTTTCCTTTTGCAAACAAAGTGTGACAGCATTTCTCTGCTGGAGACGGCTAAGGCGGTGACTTCATGCCCACCTGCTGCTTCCTGGGGAGACGTCAAGACCTGGGTTCACACACTCATTTTCTATCTCCATCTCTGCTCTGGTGGACAGTGCTGCTTCCCCATCACAGTCTTTGGTAACACAGGACAGCGAGGTGATGCACCGGAGCTGTTCACTGTGGCTCCCTTCCACCTCCCACTGTCTCCCGGCACCTGCCCTGAGTCCTGTGCACACCACTGTGGTGCAGGTTCAGTTTAACAAAGGTGTTCCTTTTTTAAAAATTTCATTTTAAACAGAGAAAAGCAAAAATAACAATAAAACAGGCTAGTAGGAGAGTAGCAATAACTACTACATTGTGTGTTGTTATTTCATCATAGGTGTTTAGAGTACAAGATACAGGCATGAAGTATTGTCCAAAAATATTAGCACAAACCTTTCTTTTCAATGCACTAAGAGAAACTAGCTGTATAACTTTCTTAACTATCTTGCCTATATGTGTATATATATATATATATATATATATGTTTTTTTCACTTTTATTTTCCTTTCTTTCCCTTTTCTCTCATCATACTTTTTCGTTTCTTCTCTATTTATGCTATCTGTTATACATTTTTTTTTATCTTATTTACTCAGTTTCTCATACTCGGGAGACAATACAATGTTTACACATGTGAGTCTGATTTATTTCACTATAGGTACAGTCTCAAGTTGCATCCATTTACCTATAAAATCTCAAGCTTATCTTTCTTTATGGCTGAGTAGTACTCCATTATCTAAGAAAATCTTCTTATCCATTTCTGGATTGATGGGCATTTAGGTTGTTTCCAAGATGTAACTATTACAAATTCTGCTGCTATAAACATGGGTGCACCCAATATCGCTGTGGTTCGGTGTTTTAAATTCTTCTGAAAAGATATCCAGAAGGGCAATAGCTGGGTCAAATGGGACCTCTAATTCTATTTGTTGTTGTTGTTGTTCTGAGAAATCTCCGTACTGATTTCCATAATGGTTGCATGAATCTACACACCCACCAACAGTGGAGAAGGGGTCTTTTTTTCCCCCACAACCCTGCCAGCATTTGTTATTGGTTGATTTCTTGATGATAGTCATTTTTTTCAGGAGTGAGATGGAATTTCTTTTGTTTTAATTTGCATCTTTTGAATGACCAATGATGTTGAACACTCTTTCATATATTTATTTGCCATTTGTATTTCTTCATCTGAGAAGTGTATATTCATTTCAGAAGCCCATTTTTGGATTGAGTCTTTGACTTTGGGGGAGTCTGATTTTTTTGAGTTCTTGATATGTTTTAGATGTAAATCTTTTGTCTGAGGGACAACTGGCTATGCTATTTCTCTGTGAGCTGTCTTTTCAGTCTGTTGGTGATTTCTTTTAATAAATGTGCTCTTGTTCTCTACTCCTTTCCTCTGGGTCTTCCTCCCGTCTGTATTTGGTTGTATACGAGGACCCTTTGACCACACAGACAAATCTTTTATCATAATGGAGGCTCTGGTCCTTCACTCTTTTACCCCATGGAAAAAGCTTATGCTTTCTTACCATGTCCAGACTTTAACCCTGATGAGTGTTCATGGCTATTTTTAAGTATAGTGGACAATAGAATACATAAGTTTAGTTTACACACACGTTCACTGCTATGTTTTATTTTTACTTCACTCTCTTTAGTAACGTACATTGATGAAGATGAAAATGAAGTAATTGAATTATCATCAAACAAAACATTTTTCATCATGCTGAAGATCCCAGAGGAGTGTGTTACTGAAGAGGAGTTGCCTCACCTGCTCACTAAAAGGGTAATTACGATTCACACGTCTTCACTGAGTTGTTTTTCTCTTTCTTCTTTTTCTTTTGATTATTGAGTTGTTAATATGAGATTATGAGTTCTGCCAGAACAATTGTTAAGAGCTTTAGAGCGAAGAGCTTCTATTCCATGTATGGATTTTAGTAGAAGATGCTTATAAAGGTATTTTCTGTGGTGAAACGCTGGAGGGAGAGCCCTGACCTCCAGCTCCGCGCACCCTGGAGATGTTCTCTCACTCTGGTGCTGTATTTGCTCAGCCTGTAGTATAATGTGATAGACAACACACTTCAGGGAGCTCACAATTCAAGGAGAGGTAACAAATAGCTATAAACAATGCACTGTGTCTGTTACTGAGCCGTGCAGAGTGTACTTTACAGTCTCACCGGAGGGGCATCTGAACGCCTAGGTGGGAGGCTTGTTGAAGGATACGATGGCCAGGATGAGTTTTGAAATGTGAGGTTAAAATGTTTTGTGTTAGCGTTGTGGGAGAGGAAGAGATCTGCCAATTAGTGCAGTACGCCTGAGCATGCTGGAAAGTGAGGCACCCTTTAACGCCAGGGTGACGTTAAAGAGGAGCGTAGGTGTTAGGTAATGCGAGTTTTCTCATTCATGGACAGGCACGGAAAGCATTTAATCAGCAGATCACGTGGTCAGATTTCATGTTAGTTTTTTTGGTGGGTGATAGTGTAGAAAGATCCAAGGAAGAGAGCAGTTAGAAGGTGTTATAGTGCTTTAGCTGAGAAGTGGGGAGGCGAATGAGGGCAGGGTCAGGGGACAGAGGGAAGATTCGGTGACACTTTAGGAGGTGTCCTCACTCAGCAGGCCTGAATGTCGGGCTGGATGGCAGCGAGGGAGGGCATGACTCAGGCTGCGGTTGGAGGACTGGGAAGATGGAGGGGGACATGCAGGGAATGAGCCTCTCATCAAAGTCCAGGCTCCTCAGCCAGACCTTGAGGACTGTGCACGGCAGTCATTACCTGGGCACAGACAGCACGGCTGACAGCCAGCTCCAGAAGATTTTGTACAAAGCCTAATTACCTTCATTTTCAATTTTACAAGCATGAAAGACTTTATTCTATAAAACAGGGTACATGTCTGATGGTAGGAGCAAAGGAAGTGAGTTTTATAGGTAGAAAAGAGTCTGAAGAAAGTAGAAAGCTAACAGTGGGTAAGTCATTTCAAAGTTACTTTCTTGTAAGAAGACGGCGGAGAAACAGCACAATTGAAAAATAATTGATTAACATTTCAAGCTGCCTTTGTTTTGTAGTAAGGGTTTTAAGGTGAAGGGAACTTCTATATCATGAATTGAAACTGGTTTGTTTGGGGAAATTTGTCTCACAAGGTCAGATAAACACTGTAGTTTGATAATATGGAATTTAAACTTCAGTGTTTTATCTTGATTTTTGGCTGGATCCGTTGAGTAGCTTAGCCCCAGACAATGATTCCCTTTAGTTTTTATTTAATGCTTTTCTCTTTTGATTATGTTTCTGGGTGGCAGCCTGACCATAATTTAGGACATTAACATTGTGTTTAGCATCCAGTTTTTAAGGTATCCTTTGTTGGTTATGATAACCTCATGTTTGTTTTAGCCAAAGAAGGACCATTTGATATTCAACAAATGGCTGCACACAGACATCCAAAACTTTTGAGAGGGTACAATGCACCAGAAAGATTGAGGTTATGACTGTCAGGAGGATTATACCAAGAGTTTCAGTTATGTTCCTTAGCCAGGGCGCCCATAAATCAAACCAACTAAAATCAAGTGGATCAAAGAATGATATGAACAAGGAGTCTACCCCTCTTACTTAAGTCACCTATTTGTTAATTTTTGCACCTGAGTCTCTATAACACCCAGTTATATACATGCACAAAAAGTGCTAACAACTTTCCTGATTTCTTTCTGTTCAGTTAGTAGTTAGTAGCTGGGTCATCTGGTATACCAGAACTGGGTTAAGTTAAAGCAGAGTGCTAACACAGAAGTAAGAGAGACCACTAGGACAATTTGAACCAACAGTTGCATTAGGGATGTTGAAGAGATCACTTAGAATCTATAAAGATTTAGGTTTGATAGGAAAGTGACAGTACTGTAGTGCCAACAAGTAGTTACCCCAGAAGCTACTGATTGTAGAGTTTTAAACACGGAATTATCCTTCACCATTAAAGAGATAGTCATAAACAAAGAAAAATTAAGAGAAGTAAAAGTCTTATTATGATAGGGAGATAATCATGATTGTTCCAATTATATTCTTGGCAGCCGCTATGATTGTCCTGATGACAATCTTGGAAAAAGCTGCTTACAGCATAAACTTAATTTTACTTGTTTATAGTTTGAATAGCTCTGGTTGTAGCATTAGGTGTTTTGGTGAACTCCGTATGTGGTTGTGTTAGTCAGCTTTGTTTTACTGCAATTGTTTGGCTGAGACAATTATCTTACAAGGAGGGGAGGGTTTGTTTTGACTCATGGTTTCAGGGTTTTTAGCCCATAGTTGCTTGATCTTATCCACAGCCTTGGAGCTCATAGTGACATAGTACATCTGTCAGGGAGTGTTCAGCAGAGAAAGCCGCTCACCTCATAGAGGCCAGGAAATGAAAGAAAGAAGGGGGTGCAGTTCCAGTATTCCCTTCAAGGATGCATCCCCATGACCAACTTCTTTGCACGAGGTCCCACCTCTTGATAGTGCCATGGAATGGTGCGCAAGTCTTTAGTAAATGGACCCTTGGGAAATCCTGAACCAAACCATAGCAATGATCTACATATTTGGCATGAGACTTGTCCTTTGAAACTTACATTTGTATCATTCATCAGCCTACTGCAGTTTAAGAACCAAGAATTTTTTGTTCTTAGTGAGAGACTTTTAGCCAGATACTGGAGAAAATGAGGAAAAGTTAGAATTTAGTCCAGTCTACAAGTGGATCATAAATACTCAAAAGTAGTGAACAGGTATACAAGCTAATAGCAGATATATTATGACTTTCTTCTGAAATATAATCTTTCTGTCCATGATGACTCCTGTTTTTACCCAAGGTAACCATGGTAAGACTAATTAGCTTGCAAAGTAATTATTTTATCTAAAATGAGCACTTAGGCTCTTTTAAAATTTGTTTTGCTGTAATTTGACAAGGAGTAGAGTTCTTAGGTCCAGGTTCTTAGGTCTAGGCACATTTTTAAATATGGCATTTCTAGGAAAGGCAATATTTCTAACTGTATCTTATCATAAAGAAAACACATTTTTATTGAACTAACTCAATGACCTTATTCTTATAAAAATAGGAATTCTTATAAAAATAGGAATACTCACCAGTAGTTTACAGATTCTGGAGAAATCAGGTAGGGAAAAACTAAAAGTTTTAACTTTTGTTTACAGAAGTATACCTTTCCAAATTGCTATAAACTATAGATAGCTTAAATGAAAAAAAAATTAATTCTGTGAATTCTGAGAACTGGTGTTGGCAGGCCTTGTGATACTGCTATTCCTCCAAGTTGCCTATACAACTGCCGTTTTCATCAGTGACTTGTTAGCAATGCAAATCAATAATCAAATACTTCTTCACAATATAAACTAAGCCTGGAGCCCCAAGAACCAAAACAATCAAAAGTGGGTGGCACCTGATGCAAAAAAGCAGAGCTCATTTTAAGAAGGACCTCCAGGGGTCAGGGGTGCCTGTTCTGTGTTTCTCAAGAGGTCTAAGGGTTATGAGCAGCCTCTTTCCTGGCTCCTAAATAGTTCCAGATCTGTCAAAGGATAAAACCGAAACAGGTTAAGATGATTGGCTCCTAAAGGTTTTACATCTCCCAACTGTGCCCAAGAATGGTGTCCAAACCTTTAAGTGAATGGACCTTGGGGAGACACTGACCCAAACATAGCATCTGTCTTCATTTCCAAAGCTGGACCACACTTCATTCCATGAAATGAAGTGTCCATTGGAGATTCTTTTGACAAGATCTGAGCAAGACCTGACACTTTTCTGCCACCGAATGGTTGAATGGAATGTGTCATGTCTATCTAGCTTTCATGTGGTTCCCTCAGAAACTTCTGAAGACAGTGACACCACATAGGTCATGTGAAATCCTCTGCATGAGAGATGGTGTCTTCTTTTATCACAGCGTTCGTGTCCTGTGATGATTACTCCAGCCTTCTCCTTTTCCGTGAACACTGTATCCGCAGTTTCCTTCCCACCTTTCCTCCCACCCACTTGCCTTACCAAAAGCACTGTGAGACTAGCTTCTTGTTACTTTACTCTTGCTTGCTTTTTAAATTGAAGGTTTACATTTGCTGAATAAAAATGACATTAGTAAGCAGCTACATTTATTTAAATATGTATCTATTGATAGAGACACATGTGAACAAAGTCTGCAGGTGTTTTTAGCTCATCGTTGTGCTGGGCTCTTCTTAGGTCATGCCTCGAAGTCATCATCTAGGTTCTAACTGTGATGCTGAAAAATGATTACATTGGTGGCTTTCCAATCATTGATAATTAGGGGGCGGAGAAAATTGTGAGCCTCACAGGTGGGTTAGACAAGGAGGAAGCCATCGGCTCCAACTTTGATGTGCAGCTCTGAGACCTCAGAATGTGGCTGAACAACTTGCCCCTGTTCTATCAGTTTGACCACATTAGACCCACAGCCGCAGCTGGTGTGGATTACAAAGAAGCAAGACAACAACACAGAGCAGGGAAAACCCTGGAATTCTTTTTCTAGAAATAGAAAATATTACATAAAATGTAATGCCTCAGTGGGAAAAACAAGAAATGTAATGCAATGGTGTTCAGCCACACATTCTGGGTTACTATGAAGTTAGGATTTGTATTTCTGATACATGATAGAAAGACCAATCAAAAGCCTGATGCAAGATTGTATAACAAAGTATCCGTTGCTTGTATTCAGAATGTACAATTAACTACTTCAGAGAGATAAGGGAAGGTAACAGATAATTCAAAGGCAAGAACTCTCAAGGAATTAAATGTATGTGAAGTAGCTCCAGGGGCTTAAGCCTGTGATCCTAGCCCTTGAGAGGTGAGGCAGGAGGATCACAATATGTTCAAGGCCAGCCTGGGCTATGTAATGAATTCAAGGCAAGCCTGAACTATATAGGGAGACTCTGTCTCAACAAATGAACAACAAAAATAGTGAATACATTATTTATTTAAAAAAAGAAAAAATTAAATACATGAAAAGAGCCTCAGCCTTACTAGTAAGCAAGGCAACACAAACAATATGAAATACAATTTTGCGTCTTTCAAATTGCAAAAACTTTGGAAGTCTTCTAAGAGTGTGAAAAATGCAACATTACTAAGAGAAAAGTAAAATGGAGAACGATTTTATACGATTTAGCTGAGTTGAAGATTACCTGGTCTTGAACCCAGCAAATTCATTCCTTGGTAGATCCCCAGGGAAACGCTTCCTCGTATGAGAAGCACAGTTCCTCAAAGGTGACTGCTTCTACCCACTTTGTGATAGGGATAGTTGGAAGCCATGCGTATGGTCAGCCGAAGGGAAGAGGTGAGTTGGTAGGATCATGTTATGGAATTTGTGAAGGCACTAGACCAAAGAAGCTTCACGGAAATGTGCCCTCTGTGTAAATTTTAAATATGTTTAAGTAGCAAATAGCAAGACTTGGAGGATTATGTAGCTTATGGCCCCTCTTGTTTTATTTATTTATTTATTTATTTATTTATTTTTTTTAATTTATTTTGAGACAGGGTCTTTCTTTCTTTCTTTCTTTCTTTCTTTCTTTCTTTCTTCTTCCTTCCTTCCTTCCTTATTTCCTTCTTTCTTTTTTAAAGGACGGGCCTCACTTCATCGTTCAGGCTGGCCTTAAGCCCACTGTGTATCCTATTCCCGCTAGCCTCACTCACGGCAGTCCTCCTGCCTCAGCATCCTAAGTGCTGGAATTACAGGAGTGTGCACCATGCCTGGCCTATGTAACCATTTTGTTTTTTGCTTCAGTGCAATATTCAATAAATTACATGAACTGGTCAGCACTATCTCATAGCATAGTTCTTGTGTTGAGATGGTCGCCCAACAGTACAATAGTGGGAGGTGCTCTGGGCATGTTTAAGGTAGATTAGGCTAAGCACAAGGTCTGGTAGTTGTGTGTATCACGTGTATTTCAACTTACAAAATTTTCATTGTGCAGTAGTTGTATTGAAACAGCAGATTGTAAATTAAGCAGCATCTGTTTGGTAAAATAAAAAGAGATGAAACCTTGGTGATGGAAATATAAGTGTCTTTTTTAAGAAAAATGATGTGTGCAGTATTTAATGCGTAAAATAAAACCTCTGTATCTTTGCAATGTGTCCCTTTGTCCCTTTGTCCAGAGGCAGCAATATAGAGTTGTGACTCAGTGTAGGTTTCTCTTTCAGTGAAGCTCTGGAGAGACAAGCAAGTGTTGAGTGTTACGTACCTGGCACTGAGTGGCCTGTGCCAATGTCCTGCCCCATTGCCACTTTTTGCCCCTTCCCCTGCCCATGGGGCCTGTGCGGGCTGTAGCTGCTGATCACCTACTCCTGTCACTACCGAAGCCACAAGGTGTCAGTGTGACCCGTAAGAGAAGTGGGATTTCCTAGCCTGGTTACTTAGTCCTTACGAATGAAGCTCTTGTAAGTGAGTGTTAACTTGAGCTTTGGTTTTGATATACATGCACCTTCCTGTATTAGGCAAGAGCCTCTAGAGAGATCAATTCCTGGCTCAAATGGAGAGTCTCCTTTTGCTTTGTCAGGTGATATGTAAAATGACTGTTAATAATCTGTACTTTTTTCCGTTTCTTTAGCTCACAGATGTGTACAGTACATCACCATCTCTGAGTCGTTATTTCATGTCGGTTGGAATAGTGGACTTCAGGTAAGAGTATGGACCATTATGCTTTGGTCTTTTTCTCTGGAAAAAGCATTGAACTACCCTAATCTCCCTGCTTACTGTTTACCTAGGAAGACTCTCCTGAGCTTCAGAGTGGGAAAAACAAATAATAGAACAACAGAGGCTCCATGCTAGAATGGCTTGGGTACAACCTAGCTTAACAACCTTATCTTATTTTACAAAGCTGTCCTCTCCGCTCATGCATTTCCCAAATCACAACATGAGTAGTCCAGGAAGAAGAAGCATGTGAAGCCAGTGGTAACTGCAGGATAGTGTCTTAGTTACTTTTCTTGTCACAGAACTGACTCCCAATACCCAACACCCACAATTTAAAGATTCACTTTGGATCACAGTTTGTAGAGGTTTCTCCCATGGTTTGCGAGTGCCAAGGCAGGAAGCATGGTGGAAGGGCCTGGGTTGAGGGGAGCTGCTCGTGAGATGGTAGATAGGAAGCAGAAGAAGGGAGGAGCTGAGGAGGGAGACAAACTGTTCCACAGGACATGTCCACTGACACTCTGCCTTCACCCAGACTCTGCTTTCAAACATTAAGCCAGCTAGCTGTACCACCCCCATAACCCAGCCACCTCCCCAAGCCCTGCCTATGATCACATGAAGCTTTCAGGGGACATCTAGATATAAAATCATAACAGACAAGATCAAAAAAGACCAGAAATTTACACATACAGTGTCAGGCTAGCATTTTCTATAGGCCCTGTTATGGTTTGTATCTAGATGCCCCCTGAAATCTCATGTAATCATAGATGGGGATTTTTGCAAGTGGTTGAATTAGGGTGTGTGCTGCTGGGATTAGGAGTGGGTCATTACTAAATTAGTCCATTGATTGTTCTAGCATAGTTCTGGGTGGGCATGATGGGAAGGACCACCTTAGGTGTGGGTGACACCACTCAAAATGCGGGTAGCCGGGAAGGGATAAAAGGGAGAGGCTTCTGCCGTGCCGCTTGGTACTGCTGCTGCTTCTTACTATTTCACTGCTTCTGCCTGCCCTGGCTGCCCCGAGCAGTTTCTCCTCTGTGATTCCGAAATGCCCTCCTCCCCAGTGCCTTACCACCCCGCTGTGGAGCCAGGTGATTATGGACTGAAACCCCTACAAACTGTTAGCTAAATAAACCTTTCCTCCTTTAACTTGGGGTGTTGCGTATTTTATCTCAACAGTTAGAAAAGTAACTAAGATAGGTCCTCAAGGCATATGCTACAAAGGTGACAGCCTCGACACTGTTTCTGATATAGAGAATGAAACCCCAGTCTACTATATGCCTGTTTGTAGTCTCTAAAATCAAAGAATGAATCTTAGGAACAACAAAAGTTAGCAGAAATATTTATTGAAAGAAAGAAAGCTTTTGTCTGAGAGAGACAGAAGGAGTCTCAAGTGGGTTGTCTAAGACTGTCTTTTTTAGGGGCCGTTAGATAGTAAAATCATGAGGTGAGACCAGTTCAAGCTGGGGAAAACCTGGGAACTCCAAAGGTGGATGGGCATGAGGTAGACAGAATTATGGTCAGCCAAAAAGATTACTCATTCAGGTACACTTGACGGAATCAGGGACAAATGGGGAAGTGAGTCACACAGCAAACTGGCATTCTTGTGGAGCAGTGACTCTTCCTATGCGGGCCGGGATGGTGGCTCCTGACTTCCTTAAAGTGACCACACCTGTTTAGAATATCAATCCCTTATGTTTATACTTAGGGTGTGGTTGCATTCATTTTGCCTTTTGTCTTGGGATCTTATTGGGTGCCAACCTAGATCCCCAATCTTCTAAAAGAGTGTACCGAGTATACTGCAGAGGTTAAATAAAAAGAGATACATTGTATGATTTTTTAGGGCTTTAGGAGAGTCGAAACCCTTTAGTTGAGCTCAAGACTCCGAGGGCTATGACAAAAAATCCTCTGGATTAGCCCACTTTTATTGGGACCAAGATAAAAGGTGGGGGAACTGCGGAAAGAACAGGAAATGAGCAGTACCTGGGGGGGGGGGTCACTTCAAAGACTTCCCAAGTAGTAGGTTAAGCCAATTTAGGAGAACTATTTATCTCCAATGTAGCATTTATGGTAGGATTGAGACTGCAGGATGAGATGCCTGCAGCTACAGTCTCTATATACATAATTAGTGTTGGAGACAAGGTGTCTTCAGCTGTGGCCTTATCTTGCCCTTTGAGCTATCTCTGGCCTCACAGGCCACGCTAGGCCTCAGCCAGGACCAGTGATTCATAGAGGTTCACTTACTGTGAATCAGCTCCCATCCATCACCAGGCAAGGGGCTGAGGTCTAGGACAGACTCACAGATAAACATAGAAAGCCAATCAGTAAAATTTAAATCCTGCTCAGAGCAGCTTCATAGTGGTCTCCAACAGAATCTGGCCCTCAGTGGGAGGTGTCTGTCTCCTCCAAGGTCACAAGGTTTCTGGTGCCCGATTCTTGAGGGCCTAGCCCTGTCTGACTGCCTGTAATATTTCTACCTAACTCAGCTGCCTGTAACAGGTCCTTTAATCACAAAACAAGGAGAAAAAGCACAACCAGAGTGTATGCACTGTATTAGTCACTTTCCCATTGCTGAAGCAAAATAGCTGACATTCACTACTTGAAGGAACGGGAGTTTACTTTGGCTCATGGTTACAGTCCGTGGCCAATTGGTTCCATGGGAGAAGTGGCCTGATGGGGAAAAGATGCTTGGCTGGTGGCAGTCAGCAAGTAGGGAAAGAAGAGGAGCTGGGAACAAACACACTCTTCCAGGTCTCTCTCTCAGTGACTTGCCCCCACCAGGGCCAGCTCCTAGCAGCTTTAGAGACACCATGATCCAGTCACCTTGCAGACACTTGAGGTATTTAGGGGATGTTTTATATCTAAGCCATCAGATTCTCTTTACTCTCTCCCCTTGACCTCACATCCAGTTCAAAGATTATGAAAGAGATGAGCAAGAAAGATCCTGAGAACCCTTAGGGTCTAAGAATCCAGCCCTATGCAGAGGGTCAAGAGGAACTGCGGGTATGGGACAGGGGCAGAAAAACTCAGCAGAAAAATGAGTGAAATGAGGTAGAAACCAGGCCAAAACAGTGTCGGAGAATCTGCTTTAAAATGTTATTTGACAGAAGACTCCCCCAACACTTTATTTTTGTAAATAAAGAAATTTCCTCTAAAAATATTTTCTTTAAAAGTCCACTCAGGGTGTCTAAAATATTTACTCAAGAAATGAAAGCCTTCCTTTCCAGAAGGACACTGTTGCATGTAGCAAGAGACAGCCACATCTCTGGGATTTTATGTCCCCAAAGGGGTCCTGACTTTCATCTTGGAAGGACTCTGGACCATTCTCTTTGACTTAACAGTTGCTAGTGTGTGTTAGCGGGGCAGCTGCTGTGGTGAAGCCTACAGCATTTAATGCTTTCCAGATATTTTTCCTTCTCCCTTCTAAATTAAGCCATATGCAGATTTACCCAGTGACCTGGCATGAGAGGGACAGGGAGCAGGTAGCCAGGCTGGGTTGGCAACCTGATCTTCTCGTTCAGCTTCTGGCCCGATCTTCTGGAGGTCCAACCTTGGCCCTTTTTGTTAGCCTTTGACAGTGGGCGTGCAGAGTGGCTGCCTGTCAACATGTTGACCATCATTGGCAAATATTAAAGGAAATAATCCAGAGAATAAATAATGTCACCTGCAAACTAGTGTAGCTGAATTGAAGTTTGTTTTCTGGGGTGCCGTTAGAACCCAGAGCCTTGTGCATGGTAGGCAAGCACTTCACCACTGAGAGTTTGAAAGTGATTGTTTTTAGTCTGTTGTTAGTGGAATCTTTGCATCTGTATGTTTCTTTAGAGCTTAAGTCTATGTTATTCGTTTGATTCAGAGAGTTTGACGCATTTCTTGGCCGAAGTAGACAAAATTGTTAACCACGGCATAAAACGTGATTATTGTAGCCTATGGTCACAAGAGGGAGCTGTTTGGTTTTTCTTAGCAGAGAAAATGATCTGGTTCACTGCTAATGGGAACAGAGAATCCATCAAACTTGTCTTTAGTGTGGTGGTCTCACCTGGAACCTCCTGACAGTTATTTTACTGTTGGTCCTTAATCTGGGTCATCTTGATAATAGAATAACCAAAAATCCTAAATGCAGAGGTCGCATTTAAAGGACATCATAAGGTTCTAAATAACGAACGACAGACCTATGATTATTTTTACTCTGAAAAGGGGAAAAAAATACGCTCTAAGAAGAAAGAGTTAGGGTTTCTTCAAACTTAGTGTTTCCTGGGGTCCCACTACTGACAATTAAAGACATTGGTCATCCTGCTTGGGGGCCTGTGGAACTGGAAATGAGACAGAAAAATTTCTCATTTTGAAAACAATCATAGGAAGTACGATTTGTGGTCGTTGCACAGATGGTCTCGGGAATTCAGAAATTCTCACCCAGCCCATGGTGAGGTGTTTTGGGCTCTCCCATAAAGCTTTTCTGGGTTAGATAGAGAACTGGTTATACTGAATAGCTCGGGCTTGCATTTGCAGGAGGAGCTTTGTTGGGAGCAGTTGGATAGGAGGAAAGGGCAGGCTTTACTGGCTGCTTCAGATGATCAGTGACTGGGCTGGTGTTCGGATAGGTGACCTTCTTTGATAGTGCCAGCCCCGTGGCTTTCCCATTGGACCTCCTCTAAGGGGGAGGGAGGGGAGGGAGGAGGCTATGTTGATGGAACCAGAGTGGCAGATTCTTCAAGACAGAAAATGTGCAGTAAACAAATGCCATTGCTAAAGCTAATTTCCTGAGTTTCAATGTGGTGTTGTTGACAGAGTATAATCTCTCTGTTTGTTTTGACTTCCAGTGGTGAAAATTCCACGGTCACCTATCACCTGCGGTTTGGAGTTCCCTTGGAAGACGACGGCTTTATGAAGTACATGATGAGTGAGGAGCTGGTGCTGGGAGTTCTGCTGCAGGACTTCCACGATCAGAGCGAACCTAGCTGTGCAGGGCTGGGGCTGGACCCAGAATCTCTCGTGCTCTATGGTAGGTAGAGAAAGTAGGGTATCAGAGTGGGGACAGCAAGCCAGTGAACAGATTGAGCACAGATGGCTTGGTTTGGCAACTTTGGGTGGCTTGTTCCATGCTGTGGAGGACACACAGTTCCTTACAGCCATGTAAGCAAAGAGAGCAGGTGGAAAATATTACGGAAAAAATAAAGCGTAAAGGAGGCCTGCTGCAGACAAGGTGGGCTTTCAGGGAGCTTCCAAGGCCCTGCATCAGCACCTTCACCTTCCGCAGCCAGCCCGACCATCTCCCTCATCAGAGGTGTCATGGAGGAAGGCGTGGCGCTGCACACCTGTGATCTCAGCTGCTCCCAAAGCTGAGGCAGGAGGACCGAATTCAAGGTCAGCGCAGGAAATTTAGCAAGTCCTATCTCATAACGAAAATTAAAATGTAGTTAAGAGGCAGAGTGCCTCTGGATTCAATCCCTAGGTACCACACAAACAACAAGAACAAAAACTTATAGTATACTGTATGGTTTAAAATACTGACATTGTATAGGGCTTTTGTGGGGGGGGTACTGGGATTTGAACTCACAACCTCACACTTGCCAGGCAGGTGCTGTGCTGCTGAGCTAAATCCCTGCCCCATTTTATAGGTATTTTTTTTATTAGATTACAAAAAAAAGAGTTGGATGTTAAAATTTTCTAAGTGTCCATAAGACCACATGAACATGTTCTTTACCATGAATTATATCAAAACAAGTAAGCAAACTTGTAACAAATACTATTTTCCTTTTGAAAACTTCCCAGTGTGTGTGTGTGCTGACTGAAGGTAAACTTTCACAGTTCAGAACTGACAAACATTTCAGCTTTACCTAAGATTTATCTTCAACCCAACAAATCAGACAAAATATAAATGTTTAAAATAATCTTGATTTTTAAAATGAGTGACTTTTGTTCATCTGTGTTTTGTTTTTTAGAATGAAGCGGTGGAGGCCACTCTACGTCAGAAAGTTGTGCTCCACTGAGTTTGGAGTGGAAGAGAATTCATTCTGTACTGGGACCAGAGGGCGGAGCCTGTCTTTCTTCCAGATTTGCAGAGATCCAGTCTGTCTCCAGTCCAGCAAGGCACCTGTGGAGACCTTTCCAGCTGGCTCCAGTCCTGACAGAGCAGGAAGCCAGAGTGCGTGGGGCAGGTGAAGTGAGCCAGGCCCCACACAGGACATCCCCATGTCCTTGAGACTCTGACTGTCTCCACTCTTGTAGGGACCTTTTGTTTCTCTTTTGCACAGGGTGATGCAGCAGTGCCTTGGCTTAGGCAGGATTCTGGTAGCCCATGCTGGTGGACAGGGACAACAGACAGCCAGGTGAGGGAGAGCGGAGCCAATTCCTAACATCCCCCTTGTGCTTCCCATATTGGTGTATGTGTGCTTTGTGGTACTCAGGATCCAGCCCAGGGGTGCTCTCCCACTGAAATATATTCCCATCTGTCACCCTCCACTCCTTTAAAAATTTTGAGATGTCGTCTCACTAAATTACCCTGGCTGGATGTGAACTTGTAATCCTCCTGCGCAGCCTCCTCAGGGCTAGAAATTACAGGCCTGCCCATGGAGCCCAGCCCTACCATTGTATCTGATCTACCTCTGAGCCAGGAAAAGGATGGTGTCAAGAACAGGAAGGGACTTTCCAAAACCTAAACAGCTGTGCTTTGTGTTTGTATTATCACTTTCATGATAATACAAACCAGCCTTGGATACACCATCCAGTGTTACTGTGAAAAAAAAAATTGGAATATATGTATATTTGAAACAAAGATAGTAATTATCTTGCTTCTTCTTATGTTCCTTGAGCTCCTGAACACTTCCTTTGGAAATATGGGTCCTTTTGAGTTTTAAACATGCCTTCATCCTTTAGGATTGTTACCCCACCTCTGTATTTATAAACTTCCATCAGAGAATCATGAAGATCGCTTAGTTTCTGCCTCTGATACCACCCGTGACTATGTCCTGCCCAGTGTTGGTAACTCCCTGGAGGACTCAGTGTCCTTGAGTGTTCAGTATGTGTCTCATTACTGGTTGTGAGACAGGAAGAACCTTTTGAAATAAACTGTTGGAAGCCTGTGTCTGATAATTTCAGGGTTGGGAGGAACATTACTGACTGTATCAGTCATTGGTAGATGCAACATTGTCGGTTCTGAGGGAATAGTATTTATGTTGTTGTTAAAATTCCCTTGCTGTAAATTTTCCAGATGAATTTTATGCTCATAAAATGAGAGATTCCCTAGTCCTTGTATCAAATAAAATTTGACGTGGGTGAAAGTCAGTGAGAGGCAGCGGTATGCAGCTGTGTGTTGGTATGGATTTGACTTGAGCTCTTTATGACTCAGTTCTGAATAATGTGAATTTGCTGTCTCATTTAAGTAGAAGATACATGTATTGTAACTTGTTTCATTGTAAGGACAGTTCCCTAAACTAGTAAATTTCTCTTCCTTTGTATTTTTTACATATCAGAAGTGAACCTTAGCATGTCTGCACTGTATAGAAAATAATGAAGATGTTTAATGGAGATTGATTTAAAACATTTATAATAAAGTATTTTTGCATCTGGGTGCCGCATTCACCTTTGGTGTGTTTGTGCTGTGTGGAGTCTCCAGGGCCATGTTTTGGGCTGGTATTTTCCTGGGATTAGAAGTGATCTTCTTATGTCCTGAGGATAGCTTCCTCTTCTGTATGAATGAGGTAGAGCCGGGTTTGGTTGGGGTGAGCCATATCTTCCTGTCAAGGCTTGATTCTAGATGTCTCTTCCAAGCCTCCTGCAGTCACAGGTGGGGCTTTTCCAGAGGTGCCTGATCTACAGTGTGTGATGCTGGAATTGATTCATGGTACAATCTAGGCCAAGGACACTGGGATTAAGGATATGAGTGCTACCTACCCTAAGTAGCCTAGATAAGGCATCAGGGACAGAAAGATCTATGGTTGTCCCTGGACGACTGTTTTTGCTGTCTTTTGCCCACAATGAACTGTTTTTCCTCTGTGATGTCACTCTCCATGTGCCACTTCGCCTTCGAGCTAGACAACTATGGATTGAAACCTCTATGAACTGTAAGCCAAAAAATTTTTTCCTTCTTTAATGTTGGGTGAAAACAGGAGGAAGCCATCCTCTCTCTTTGAGTGCCCACTCCAGAAGGATCAGGAACCTAAAAGGGCTAGAAAGATGATGTTGTCTGTGTCTGGAGACAGCGTCTGATTTTGTTCTTTTCTGCTCCTTTAAAAAGCACCGAATTGCGAGTACCTTGCCTTGGGTTTTGGCATAGGGAGGACTTTTTGATCCAACTGACATGAAAAGAACTAATTTGTGTGCCTAAAGCATTTTGAAATGTTTGAAAAAAATATACTTGCATATCTTATACTTTGTTTTGCCACAGGAGATAAATTTACTGGTCATCAGTCATCTTAATGATTAATAAATCCCTGGTACACAGTAATGTTTCAATAAATATCTGTTAAAAAAAGTTTAAAATGAAAAACTTCTTTCTGGAAGTCACTTCAATATAGACAGGGTGGCAGAAACACGTTTCTGTTTCTGCCAACAGAAATTCTAGCCACACATATCCAGTAATTTCTGCTTTCTCTTTAATTTAATTTTGTTGTACAGATTTTTAAAAGTTCTTTTCATGGTACTAGACATTGAATACAGGGCCGTGAGTATACTATAAAAGATTTACCACTGAGCTACAACCCCAGTCTTTAAGTGATGTGTGTCATGACAGGTTATAGAGGATACCAGATCAGAAGAAAGCAGTAAGAAAGGAAGATGTTATTATAACTGTTATTATTTGGAAATCAGGACCTGCACAGATAAAACAGGGAATAGATGGGAAAATATACCCAACAGTTACCTGGCACACCTCTGTAATTCCAGCTTTCTAGAAAGCCGAGGCAGGAGGATCACAATTTCAAGCCCATTCTGAGCACCTCTGTGCTTGGTGAGACCCTGTCTCAAAATAAAGAAGGGTTGGGATTGCAGCTCAGTGTAAATGCCCTGGGTTTAATCCTCAATACAAAACGAAACAAAGGGGCTGAGGATTTAGCCCAGCGGCATAAACTCCTGCCTTGCAAGCAGGCAGTCATGAGTTCAATCCCCATAAAAACGAAAAAGACAAAAAAAAAAAAAAAAAAAAAGAAACAAAGCAAGACAAACAGCTCTACCCACCCCTCATTTAACACCAAGATTTAAGTGAGTGTAAAATTCAAGACAAACTGTAGGCTGGGGGAGGCCAGAGAAAGAGTGTAATTTGGCTGGAGAGTGCCTTACATAGGGGGTTTAACTCAAGCGGAGCTTGACTTACTGGTGGGATTTGAACAGCAGATTTGTCTGCCTTTGCATGTATTCGTGTGTTCACAGGATGAAGTTTAGTCTCTTCTCTTGGTCCCCTAAGTGAACTCCTTCTTTGAACTCCTGCCGTATTCAGCGTGTGGTCAGCATAGACAAAATTGAAAAAAATAGCACTAGAGATGTAGCCCAGTGGTACAGAGCTTGCCTAGGACGCTCAGGCCTTGTGTTCAATCACCAGTGCAGTAACTAACAGGCAAACAAACAAGAAAAATGGTAGCCCAGAGTCCTTCCTTCTCTCTCATTACTGTTTAATTTCATGATTTAAATCAGGCAATTCATCTTATCACTGGTAGCTTTATTAGAAATCATTGACTCGGCATCAGAACATAGCCCTGTCATCTTACAGCCAGAACACTAATCCTGGAGAGTGAGAAGGACCAGGTAGAGTCCTATAGTTTTAGAGGACAAAACCCACTACTAGGCAATCACACATATGAATGGCCACATGGTCAGGCTCAGCTCATGACTAGTTGACATCTATAAATCTGAAGGAGCACAGATGGTTGGAGGAAGCAGTGAATTGACAAATATGGCTATGAAACTCTCCGCTGAAAACCACTCAACACTTCCCCCAAGTACTTGCAAAAGAATCATCAAGGAAAGTGCAAGCCATTTGCACTGGTCTCATAAACATTTGGCAAAACAGAGTCCACTTAGTTGAAGTGGACTTTCTGAATTTCAGAGCCTAGATTGGAAAAGCATAGAAGCAGACAAAGAGAAGTAGCACTTCCTTTTTTCTCTATGGGTTCCTGGGGCACCCTAGAGACACACCTCTTCTGTCCTGCCCTTCCCCCTGAAGTATGTGAAGGGCCTGTCCCTCAGGTTTGTTAGAATAATGCCAGCATTTCAACTCATTGTCAGAAGTAGGATTTCCCACCCTCATTTCATTTCAAAAAAGTATTTATCTACAGACTGAGAGCTTATTTATAGTTCCTAGCGTGAACGTAAATGGAAACCACAGAGCCTGCAGTGGCCTCACATGCTGCACCTCTGCATTTGAGCTGTGTATGTGCAAAGCCGAGTGTGGGAGAGGAAAACTTTCCAGTTATGTGAAAGGTAACCATAATGCTCAACCTCAGCTCCAAAAGCAGTGATCCTTTAACTGAGGGACTGCAACCCTGACCCCATGAAGTCATGCATTTCCTGCCAATAGGGCACCCAGAAATACTGGAATCTGTGTGAAATGGGATTCACATTATAAACAGATGCAGTGGCTGTATTTTGACATAAAAATTTATTTACTTGAAGATTCTATATTCTGTATATTATATGTAATTCTGCGTATTCTATTCCATACGTTAAGTAATTAAACTCATAAAAATGTTTCTAATTTTTATTTTTAAAAATTAACATTTAACTTGACAAATAACATTATGTACAATGCAGTGGGTTTTTTCAAGCACTCCCAATAGCTTGCCTGCTCAAAATTTTTTTTTTCCTTTTATATAACATTATTACAAGAACAGCTTTCTTTACTAAGCATTTACATTGACTACATTCCTGATAAAAGGCGTATATGTGTTTGGGACAGGTAATACTTTCACAAGACAAGGATTAAACAAATACAACTTTTCATAATAATCTTTCTTTCCTCCTTCCTTCCTTTCTTTTCTTTTTTTGTTTTTTTTTTAAAGACAGGTCTTGTAGCCCAGGCTGGCCTCGAACTCAAAGTGATCCTCCTGCCTCAGGCATGCACCACCATGCCCAGACCATCTTAAGAATGTTTCAACCAAACATATTCCACAATGGTTTTGTAGTCATGTGGAAAATTGCAGCACAAACATCATTTTTTTTTTTTTTTTTTTTTGTGCCAGGAATATAACATGACCTTGCACTCCCCAGGCAGGCACTGTGCCACTGAGCCATATCCCTGGCCCTGGAACTTATCAATTTGATGTTTCTGCCTTGTTGGGGATTGCTGGGTGGGTCACCAGATGCATCTGCCTCTTTCTCCACACAGAATGAAAGGTCCCTTTACTCTTTGATATTATTTCTACTTAGGGTCTGCAATAGATGACTTCCACATTTTAGAGGATTTATGGTAAAAGAAAAAAATGAAGCCTCCAAGTTACAGACTCAAGGTTACAGAGGATGCAGGGAGAGACCCAGGATTCAAAGCACTGCTTTTCTACTTTGGATCCACACAACTCCCTCTAAGCAATGCTACAACTTGTACACAGTTTGCGGCCACCACAGACACCCTCCCCTGAGCCTGAGTAAATCTTGGCCAAAGAGAAAACTTCGGTTTCCATGTGAAAGAAACTTACTAAATTTAGAAGTTATCAGAAACCTCAGAAAACCTGATTTGACTCATTGTATCTCCAGTTAATGGATTTATCATCATTAATCACTTAGCACATTTTAAATAGCCATTGCTTTGAGCAAAAAATAGTAATATTTTACCAGTTGGCTCAACAGGCCTTTTGCTATTTTAACATCTCTAAAATTAGGCTAGTGGTGATTATGAGTTACACAGCAGCAGTGACACAGGTGCAAATGTAGAAATAGTCTAATTTGCTAACTGTTCTTGGTGTCTCCCCATTTGTGGTTTTAATATTTTCATACTGTTTGATTGGCACCTGCTTCTATGAGTTATATTGATAACTAAATATATTCCTGTTAGGTTTGTCTCAAAGTGTGATGGTTTAGGGCAGAGATCTGCAAAATTGTTTTCTGTAAAAGGACCAAAACATAAATATTTTTGGCTTTATGGGGCCTACAGAACTCTATCACAGTGGAACAACCATACAGAACATGTAAATAAATGAGTGTTCCAGTGTTCCAATCAAATTTTATTTACATAAACAGGTGGTGGGCCTGATTTGGTCAGTGGTCTATTGTTTGCTGGCCTTTAGTTGAGGAAATAAACCTAATTGCGGAAACATTAAAGGGTGGTAGAAAAGAAATAATCCAGGCCTATAGAGAGGAATGCTTATTAGAGAAAGGATGGATGGGTGCAATATTTCTTCCTTGTGGACATTTTAATCATGTGGTTCATGTCATATTATTTAACATAGTTATTTATGCTATATCAAAGGCTCTTCTATATTCTATAGTATATTCAAGAAAACCTGAATTAGAAGTTAGTAAATCAGCACCTAGATAAGATTCTGCTATAACTTTAATGTATCATTGGGTAAATTATTCTCTCTGAACCCAAAACCACTGAAGGTCTTTCTACTTTCACATCCTCTGATGCTATGACAAATATTAAGATATAGAGAGAGGGTGTTACAGTTGATACATTGTGTCAACTTGAGAAGTTTAGAAATTTAACTAAGAGACTCATCAGGGAGCTAGGATCCTTACTTTATAAATACCCTCCTCCTGTGCAAGAGGAGGGCTACTCATGCCCTGGGGAGGAGGTAGCCTGCTTACAATATAAGGAAGGAGAAGATGCTTGTTCTCTTTTTTGGCTCTTGATGCTTTTTTTGCTGTCTTCTGCCACCTTCAAGTGTTTCCCCAGTGCCATCCCACCCTACCTTGGAGCCAGCTGATTATGGACTGAAACCTCCACAAACCGTGGGCTAAATAAATCTTTCCTTCCTTAATTTTGGGTGTTGGGTATTTTGTCTCAGCAGTGAGGGAAAAGTAACCAAAACAGAGGGTCAGTGGTTGAATGCTTGCCTGACATGCATGAGACCCTAGCTTTGATATCCAGCATTGCCAAAAATTATGGACAGAAATACAAAATTAACAAGCAAACAAAGAAGTATTAAAATTATATATAAAACAAATTGGAACCTTCTGACTCAACGCACATAATTAACCAAGCCACGGGGACCAGTAAGACAAAAGATACCACGTAAAGGACATTCTTTAGGCATAGGGAGTAAAGGGAATATCATGCTCCCATTGGGATGGAGGCTGAGCTGGAAAGTCACCGTCACGTATGAATTCTCCCTCGGGGCATGCTTAGTGTGATGAATAAATGCTTTGTAACCTCAGAGAGCAGATGGGAGGTTAAGACAAGAGGATTTACAGGTTTGAGTCCAGCCTAGGTACGTTAGTGATTTAGCAAGATCCTGTCTCAAAATAAAAGATTAAAAAAGGGCTGGGAATATATTACAGAGGCATTGGGTTCAATTCTCAGTACTAAAAAACAAAAACAAAACAACCCGCCCCCAATAACAACAAGAACGAAAGCTAGTCAGAAGCTTAGACTCTTTTGTGGTGCACACAGCTTTGGGGGACCAGAGAGCCCTTCCTACCACAGAGTCCTTGCAGTGCCACTTTGAATCAGATGGCCACTCTTTTTTTGGATAGTGGCGTTCAGAATTAGTTGGCTGATTTTTGGATGGCAGATATAGAGCAGGATCTGATCACACTGTGGCTTGCATGCTATGCTCTACTGAGATCCTGGAGAATAAGCTAAAGAGTTCAGTGACCCAGGTCTGCTTCAGCCAGAGCCCCACATTCTACTTTTTATGCTGGTGCTACACAAAGACAGTCCAATCACTTCACTGGAAATGGGAAAACTGAGTCTCAAAGGGGGTCACGCGTGGGCCTGGCTGCTGGAGAGAAGAGGAGACTCTGCCAGGCATGAGGAGTTCATATTCATCTTCTGGGCAAGGTGGATGACTTGGAGGGGAAGACACACGGAGAAGGGAATACTCCGTCTCGGTGCCTCCCAAAGACTCTCTGGGCCTGCGAGCCTCACAAGAGATGTTCTCATAAAGTTCTCCGGTGACCTCCTCCTCCTCAGAAGAGTTCCCTGATGGCTTCCTCCCGAGGGCTGTGTGGTTGACAAGGATGTAGCACACCTCACCCGTGTAGCTCTGGGTACCATTGTCCTGCTGACCAAAGGAGAACATCATCAAACCTTTCCTTACACTTCAGTTTCAACACAGGCCTGATTCTAGGTAAAGTCTATCTCTCGCAGGACCACGTCCTCTCCATTTCTTGCCTATTTTTCTTTCAATTGCTCCCACTCCAACCACTAAAACTTTTGGTCAAAGCACTCATATTGCTCAGAGCATATACCTTCTTAAGTGTCTTAAGTGTGTCTTTTCTGCACATGTTCCCAAGTGATCCCTAACTACCCCGTATAATTTCCAGAGTCTCAGGGCTCTTGGGCAACCCATTCTTTCATTTTTTATTTTATTTTGATTGATTTATTGATTTTTGGTACTGAGAATCAAACTCAGGAGCTCATGCTTGCCAGGCAGGAACTTACAACTGAGCTATATCCCTGGTCTCCCATTCTGATAAGACAGAACAATGTAATGGCATCTTAATTACACTCATTCCAAAGACTACCAAGGGAAGTCTCAAGGTAGAATCTCAGGAGGTAGCCAATGCAAAAAGCATGGATTTTGGAGTAGGACTTGGCTATGAATTTTGGCTTTGCCATAGTTTAGCTGTCTAGATTTGGAGACTATCCCTTGATTTCTTTGTTTCCTTATCTGTAAATGAAGGGGGAAATAATTGGGGGTTGTCATGATGGTTATATGAGATGATGCCTATAAAGCACTCAGCACATTGCTTATTGTATACAAAACGCTGACCAAATGTTAGCTTTTTCACAATCCTGGCGTCTAATGTTTTTCTTCTATGCTGAGGTCAGAAGGGGTCTCATTACCTTGCTGGGAGACAGTGTCTTTCCTTTTTCTGCAAAAAGAAATACACTCAATGAATTTCAGGTTATTCAGAGATTTGAGGGGTGAGAGAACTGGACTATAAGCAGAGAACCAAGAAGCAGCTGCAGTAGCCCTTTCTAGGCTCTTTGAACCACAGAACATCCCTCAGTGGGTGCATGCAGGACCATATAAACAAGAAACAGTCAGAGGTTGCTCAGAGTGAGAGGCCAAGGGGAAGGTGACATTTGGTGAAGCATTGGCTAGGAAGTCACACTTATCCCCTGTCTCCTTTATCTCTCTTTTCTTACTATACAAAATATTGGCATCAGAAAAAACCTTGTCCTCTACTGACTGGCTTGGGAGGCAGGCAGGGCCTGCGAGAAACCACAGTACACAGAGCAGGGTGCATTTATCCTGCAGCCAACAGAGGATGGTTCCAGATTGGACCCTGGTGCTCAAGGACAGTTTTACACAAAGGGAAGCTGATCACCCCCATTCCTGCAGCTCCTGGAAGACACAAACACGAGCAGGCCAGTTTTCCCAAAGCCAGATTTCTTTAAGCTGGTTCTGGCTACCCAGCAAAGAAGCAAGTGAATGCTTGCTACCCCTTCATAAAAGGGCCAGCTCAGTAAGCAAGCAGGTATCCTCCATGGAAGCTTGTCCAGGAAGATGTGTCCAGGTGGTTATGATATGGTACCTTGGTACAGAGATTTACATTTCCCGCAATTCTCACATTTCCATCTACGACTCCCCTCATTACAATTACAAGAAAAGAGTGTTAGAGTTTTAGCATCGTGGGTCTTGTTTTCTCTGGTGAAGATCAGAGTATCTTAGGAACCACTGTTGCTTGGATGAAATAGCTAGGCCTAAGAGGGTTAGATTTTTTGTTTATATTCTTTTGTTTCTATATCTCTGCATATCTTACAGAGCTGACTCATAAAACTAAGTGTGTGAATGAATTACACCAGTGCTGGTGAACTTTTTAGAGATTTCAATAATGTGAACAGCCCACTGAGGCACACCACCCAAAGGCCATGTCCTTTTCTTTAAGAGAAGGTCAAAACAGTTTTCCTCTTCAGAAATCCAGTGGCCTGTCTCAGGCTGAAGTTTCTTATTCTCTTACATATGATGCTACTTACCACCTTGTCCATCTTAGAGTCTTCTCTTTCCTTAACTTTAACACTCATGAGTCCCCACAGACTATAGCACCAGCCTCCAAGTGGTTCCCTGATGTCTGCTCTGGTACTTCCTAATATAGATTCTCTGCCCAAAACCAAAGGGGTGAATCTTTTTTAAATGCAAATCTGATTACACCTGTCTTTTTGTAGAGTCCTTTACTATCGCTGGTCACTGTCGAGGTAAGGATATAACCCATAACTGCCCCTCTCCTAACTGCTTTGTGTCTTAGGTGGCCTTCTTGATGTCCTTTATAAGTTCCATTTGATCCAGCTTTCTGTTTATTCCCTTCCTTCCATCTACATACCACAGGCACTAAGTGAAGAACCGAGATTTCCATAAGGTGATCCCTGCTTCAATGAACTCATGGCCTAGTGGGGAAAACAGACCTACAGGTGGGCAAATTGCAGCCAAATATGTAGGTAGTATATGCAAAATGTGACGGGACAGTGATGACTTACTTTCCTTTTGGTCTCGGCTGACTTTACGTATTCTTTTCCTGTTTAAGAAAGGAGAAAAGTGACTTAGTTGTTACAATATTCAGAAACTCTCAAAGAAAATTACACTGACCTATGTAACATCTTTAATTTCTAAAAATTGTATGTCTTTCACGATACGTCATTCAACATACAACTGTTAGAAGAAAAATAAAGATGAGGACAAATAGAAAGCCTCCTACCTCCTCCTTTTAAAAATTCTAATACAGAATTTATTCCCATAGAAGGACAACTATGATGCCATTATAGGTTACCTTTTGGAGAATTTTTTTCTGATTAGCTACTAGTTTATTTTATACCATGAGTGTGCAGGAGCCAGTATTATTGTCAAGCCTAAACTATAATTTCCAAAACAAAAGCACACCATCCACTAGAACACACCCTGGATAAGTGGATGTATATGTGATGGAAACTAATTATCATCTCAGGAGACAGGGCAAATTTGTTTCAGAAGGATTGCCATATGTTCTCATTTGCTCACTCTGGTTAATGTCATTATCAATCCCTTGGCAATCATGAGCTATTCTTAGAATCCTTTTTACCCTCAAAGTTATCTCAGTTTGGACAATAAATTAAATTATATTGTACTCCGGACTTTACAATCTCAGAGCAAGGGACAGAAACGTGTGTTTTTGTATATGTATTTGTATATGGATTTGCAGTGTGAAAAAAGTCTTTATGTTAGTAGCCAGTTTCATTTTGACATAAGGCTAACCCACTGAAGGAGAGTGTACGGCCCATGGAACAGCCGTTCCTGTTTCTTACCAGACTTGAAGGATTGCTTGCCTGAGTGGCTATTAGGTGACTGCATCTGGGCTTAGTGCCAGGCCCCCGGGTCGCCACAAATGGCAGGGAGTTACAGGTAACTTACGGCAAATACCACACTGAAACCACGTTTGGGGAAGTAACTCGTAAGAGCAGCTCTCAACTTACCATGGAAAGCAGAAACAACTTTTGATAATATGGTGATCCCCGCATCTGAAAAACCCAAGAAAGATGACACAGTCACAGGATTGGTTTCTGAAGCTTTGTGAGATAGTCCCATCCCATTGCCACTTCTTGGGGGAAAATTTTTTGTTTCCCCAAGCAAGCATTCATTTTAGGGGACCTGGATGTGTCAGTTCCTAATCGGGGAATAAAAACTTCTCTGCTGTATTTTAAGCAAAGAGGAAAGGGTTTCTCATCTCCAATTCTAATGATTTATTTGGTTTCTTTGTGATGAAAACCACATAAGAAGTATTTGCAGGAAATCAAGGGATAAGCACATAGACATTTGAGAGATCATTTTGTTCAGGTATGGCATAGACAGCATTTTTGTAGGATTTCACTGATATCTGACTTGGCTCTTCTCCTTTCTGTTGTAGTTGTGTGCTCACTTTACAAGATTGAGACCATTTATCTTATTCATCATGGAGTGTCTCACCAGTATATGCTGGAAGGTAATACATAAAATGTTTTCAATAAATATTTGATGAAATATGAATAAGGAAGATAATGAATGATGAAGATATGAATGAATAGCCAAAAATAAAGCAATTGTAGCTGAAATAGGAGGCCATCCGATCTATCACTTAAACTCCAGTGTATAGCTATATAAGAGAACATTATATAGTTTATCACAGATGGGTTTAGGATTTCCCTGCAGCCAGACATGTAAGTTAAATTCTAAGCATCATTTATGGAATATTTCTAAATCTGAAGCATAATCAACTAACTACATGGGTGAATGTTAAAAGTCCTTGTAAAGTACTATATATACTGGCTACAGTGGAAAATCATTTGTAAAATACCATCTAAAAATGTCTTCCCCAATGAGCTTTTTCCTGGAGTTCCCTAAGAAGAGGTAGTGACCGACAGTGGCTAATGGCACTGTGACCATGACTGTGGCCACCCGCTTGGCTGAGTGTCCTGACTGCCTCCGAGGTCTCTGCACCATCAGAGACTTCAGTGTTGAAGGGTATGGTCAGAGTTCTTCCCCGTCTTCAGTATTCTTTAGACCATCTGTTCTTCATCTCCTGCTGCTACTGCTACAAACATCATCAGGCAACTCCTGAATCAAAGCAATGCTAGGAAATCAGGTTCATGAGGGGGTGTGAGCATGAGATGAGAATATTGAGATACTGAGTTACTGGATTCATATCTCTAAACTCCATGAGATATCGTTTCTTGATTCACAGAACCCTCAGCTTGCACTGAAGAAACGCAGTCTGCTGAGGGACTGCTGGGTCTTTAGCTCCTAATAAGTCTTTAGCTCAGTAACTGCTTTTCAGCTCCATGTTTTCAAAACCTTAGAAGAGTTGAGCATGCTTGCCTGGCTCTTGTTTGCTTGGCATTTTGGAGCCTCGAATTCAAGGCATCTCTTGAGTGTCCTGCTGCCACCTAAAATTCAACATGTGGGAAATAGGTTCTGGGTTCCTCTCTAGGATTCCTACTTTTGAAAAATTTTTCCAATTTTTCTCTTACTTTTGTATATGAAATTGCCTTAGCTTTTTCCTTGTCACCCTTTCATTTTCTAATACTCCTAAAGCACACACAACATTCCATTTTATATCATTTTAGATCTCTTTATATTGCCATAGGAACAGCCCACTAATTTTCTCTGGGAGCAAACATACACCTCTGATCCTAAATCACTTGTTTCCAAGTGTCCAGGAATCCTCATCCTTAAGAATGTCAGCATCACAAAGAGAGAGGAGTTGTCCTCTTGCTATCATTGTCTATTTTGGTATAGTCCAACGGCTGTACACAAACAATGGGGGAAGGCTACATAAGCAAAGGTACACCAACAATCACCATCTTCCACAGACAATACAGAGGCAGAGACCATGGCAGGAAGCAAGAGGAAAAAGAATTAAAGAAAATAAATTAGCTTTGCTTGGGGTGGATTTCTGCATAATCATCTTTTCATTTACTGGAAGTTGAGGGGTATAAAGAAAAAAGAAACTAACAAACAACTAAACACTGCTTATTGCCAGCTAGTCATTTTATGTGTTAAATTGTTTTTAATTTCAGAATAAACCTGTGAGGTTGATATTATCATCCTATTATTTATCAATAAAGAAACTAAATCCAAAGCATTGGGCATCTTAACCGAGGGTCTACAACTGGTGAGGGTAAGAGCAGATTTTATTTAGGCAGATTCCTTGCTTTGAAATCTGACCTCTTCTCATGAAGGAAAGGTGCCCTTCTAGCCTATGGAGTTAATTTTCCTGGCTTTCCTAACATATTTCATCTATAGAGGCATGATAGGGGGGTGTTGTTGGATGATAATTGGGTGAAAGGCATGAAGTGGAAAACCAGGTCCCACTCAGGGTAAGACTTCTGAATAGATTTAGGGACATATTCTAAGTTAGCAAAGGGATGATAGTCCAACTGATCAACTATTTGGGGAAAAAATCTGATGCCGGATAGCAAATGTATAGGGATAAATGTGTAACAATAAAACCTCACAAAATATATTTGTGCAAATTTGTTTTATCTTGGAAAGGGGAGAGGATGCTAAGCATAAATGCCATGATAGAAACCTAAATGCCATCTAGATTAGGTTCAATTATCTTTAAAATATAATAAACACAAAATAATAAAAGTAGAGATGACATAAGACACACACACTAGAAAAATACTTATTTTTCAATTTTTATGAGAAAGGCTAATTTCTTCAAAGTATAAATAGACAAACCAAAATCCAAAACAAAAATGGGACAATCGGTTCTTTATTGATGAAAAAGTATAAATGACTGAATATAGATAACGGACCTAAGTACACTATGATTACCGTTTTACCTCATTTTCAGGTTTTTGTACTTTCCAATTATGTTTACAATGAAAACACATTGTAACCATGTTGTAACGCTTCACCTCCACAACAAAACAAAACTCTGTATGTGGTACCAATCAGTACTTTCTTGGTCACATCATATCTGTATTTTGTTTTATTTCTCTCCCAGGAACAGATATTTCCTTATATTCTCAACCATTTGTTTAATCTCAGAAACAATCCCAGGATCCAGGAATTCAAGAAAGGGTGAAAAACAATAGATTGGCGTGGCATGGTGGCACATGTCTATAACCCCAGCACTCAGGAGGCTGAGGTAGGAGGATCACTGAGAATTCAAGCTCAGCCTGGGCTAAAAGTGAGTTCAAGCCCAGCCTGAAGTGCATACTGAGACTGTCTCAAAAAGACAAAAAAAATTCCTACATTTGGAGATCTCACAATTTCTAATCTTATAGAAGAATTCATTTCTACAAAGATCTAGGGAGAAATCTCAGATGACAATAATTGTCAAGAAGGGACTTTTCTGTAAGTGGTATTTTGGGCCACTTTCTGTTTTTTTTGTTCCATTTTCCAGTGTCATAATCTGAGACCTGGGACACCAAATGTAATCATCTGAAGAGTCCCAGGCCAACTCTCTCTCCCTAGATCACCTCACTTTATACCTTAAAGAGTCCCTTGTTTTTGGTAGTACTAATCTTCACAATAGTGGCTTTGATGTTAAGAAAGATCATGATTCTAAAATATAAAAACAGGAATGTCTTCTAGTTATGGAACCCTTCTGTGTATCAGGTATTTTGATCCCACTGTACATGCTAGAACACTCTCAAGTAGGTCCTGTATTATTCCATTTAAAATGAAGAAACTAAACTCTGGAAAAGTTAAGCTAATTTCTCTATCTTTATAGATGAACTCTGCTTATGTCCTTTAAGGACTGAGGAGTGTAAACTAAACGAAGCCTCATAGTGTCAGGAAACTTGCTTTTTATTTTTAAATTAAGATAGTTAAAAGGGTAGGTATATTTGAGTTCTTTCTGGAGCCTTAGGGCTTGGCACAACCTTCCCTTGCCAGGCCTTGGAAAGTTGTTTCATTGCTTAGGTGGCTTCTATTATAGGGTCCTCCCTTGATGAAGATCCATCAACATTATGCATGATTCTGGGCAGGAAGGCAAAATTTACAAGAAAATTTAAAAGGTGTCTGGCAGGTAGCAGGCACTGAATTCTTAGCCAATTCTCTTCATTCCCAAGCAGCCTCCTTTTTTTCTCCCATTGGTCCTTTCCCTCTCCTCTGCTCTATGGCAGAGTGTGAACTTACCTATTTCTCCTCTGGAGATCGTTTCCCATGCTTCACTCCTCTCAACAGCCTCTCTTAGTCCTGGTCCCTTTACTACTTCCTCCTCGCACGCAGGCCTTGCACTCTATAAAGTGGCTCCTGAGCTGAGGTGCTGTGTGGTTCTGGCCACTTGCACAGAGAACAGAAAGGAGAAGGGTATATGCAGAGGGGAGGAGCTAAAGGTGCATACACATAGAAGGTCCTTAAATGTCAGAGCCTGGATCATTCGCCATAATCACAAGCTGCTGGTCAGTGAGTTCTGTGAGCCTTGGGGGGAAACTCAAGCCTGCAGTTACAGCTGGGCTGGCTGTGGAGGTTTTTCACTTAAAATGCATACATTTATTAAATTAGTTTGTCTTAGAAAAACCACAGGGGGAAACTTTATTTAAAAGAGAAAAGATTAAAGCAAAGCATTAAGCCACAGGCTACCAAAAAAATGCTATATATGAAAGAGACTCAAAACTACTCATGAGAAAACAAACATATAATGGTAAATTACACATAATTCAAACTGACTTTTCATCAAAGACACTGTGGGGATGCTAAATGTATTTAAAGATTCTCAATGCCATGGTCATTAGGAAAATACGGTCTCAACCACAATGCAATCCCTTTACACATTTATTAAAAAGTTTAATGTTAAAAACCAAAATAAAACTGATAACACCAAGTACTGACAAGGAATGAGTTATGAATATAAACCCTATGTTTTGGTACTGACAACACAACATGATATAGTCTTTTAGGAAACCAATATGGCAGTGTTATAGTTTGAGTCTCGAAGTCCCCACAAAGCCTCATGCAGTCATAGAGGCAGGCTTCTAGAGTTTGTAAATGACTCATGGTCCAATGCTGGGATTATGGGTATGAGTGCTACCCTGGTGAATGTGGCCTACACACAATATAAGGGGCAGAGAATGTCTTCTCTCTGTGCTCCTCCTTTTTTCCCTTTTCAGTCTTGCTCTTGCGACTGCCATGAAGTTTGCCCCTTAGGCATGCCACCCTGCCTTGGAGCCAGCTGAGTATGCACTGAAAATCTAAAAACTAGAAGCTAAATAAATCATTCCTTCCTTAATTTTGGGTGTCAGGTATTTTATCCCAGCAATATCTCAGGTATCTTATCCCAGGAAAAATGTAACTAAGACATAATTTGGTACCAGTGGAGTGGAGTTGTCAGTGTGACTATATCTGACCATGTGGTTCAAGAGCCTTTAGGAATGGCTTGTGGGAAGAGTTTGGAAAGGTTCAGAGATGTTGGAAAGATTCAGGATGCTCTGCATAGGAGATTTTGATCAGAGCTCTGAAAACTAGAAGACTGATATAAATCCTGCTGGTAAAGACCAGGCTTGAGAGGTTTCTGCTGGAAAGAAGGACTGCATTGGCTGTTGGACTCCAGATGACATGTGTTATGGCTTGGCAGAAGGTTTGTCTGTATTTTGCTCATTCCCAGACAGTTGGCCTGCGTCTGAGATTAAGGGCATCACACTAATTGATCTGGAAGAAGAATTTCAAGGCAGTTGAATATTGAGGCAGTGGCATGGCTATTTATGGGAGTTTTTAGTCAGATTTATGTTGCAAATCAAAAGCAAAGAGCCCAGAAGAATGATTTAAATTTGAGTTTGGCCAGAAAGAAAGCTCCAGTAAAGCTGTAGACGGTAAAGATAAAGCTGAGATTTTGATTGCTGAGAAGGAACAGAATAGAGAAGACAGCCTGGGGACATCACAGGAACTGGTGGATCTGTACCCTTTGAAGCTTCATTATTGCATAAGTGAAAGACTTTCCTCTGAGGAGAAATCTACAGAGCACAATGTTCCAGTGGCCACACAAGTTTCCAAAACGACCACACCAGGTTCCAGAATGTTGGCAGCATAGAGAATTTGTTCCTCAGAATCAGGTTTAGAGTGCTCAGTGATCCAGGCACTCAACCACTGTAGACAAAAAAGAAGCCTGGCTAATTCACTAGTTGGCAGCCAGTTTTGTTATCATCCATGTGGTGCTGGTTTTAGGTGTGTACAGAATGCAAGAGATCTGAGGTTGAAAAGGATTTCACCTGGATTTCAGAAGGCCTTGGAGGCCAGGCAGTGTGCCCTTGAGAGGGCACATTGTGAAGCAGTGAGGATGAAGCCAATGATGCAGTGGAGACCCTAGCAATTGGGAAAAGCTAGGAATGTGGATCATTTAAGGAGACCTGCAAGGAGGGAGAGAAACAAAGAGAGAAGAGAGAAGCTGTGGAAGCTACTGCTCTTTGGAGCTCATAATTTACTACAGATTGCTTTAGATGCTGGATGTACCACTACAGGATTTAATGTTTGTCCCGCTGGATTTTAGACTTCATTTGTATCTTCATTTCTACACTCTGGAATGGTAATGTTTACCTTGTGCCATTGCATTGGCAGTGGGTTGTAGTTGAGTTTACCTTACATCTTGGAGGAGACTTGGAACTCAGACTTTTCAATGCTGAAACTGTTAGGACTCTGGCAACTTTTGGAGATGGAGTAAATTGTAAGCTAAATAAACCTTTCCTTTTTAATTTTGGGTATCAGGTATTTTCTTTCAGCAACAAGAAAAATGCAACTAAGATGGCAGTTTCATGCAAGGTAAAAGATAAATATTCTATAAAACCTAGCAATTCCACTTTTAGTGATTTAAGAGTGAAACTTATGCCCTATAAAAATTTGTATATAATATTTTAGATCTGCAAAAAAAAAAAAGCCTTGAAAATAACCCAAATGATCTTCATTTGATTGAACAAGTTGTGTTGTATCCATATAACAGAATACTGCTCAGCAGTAAAAAGATGGACTACTAATTTATGCAACAACTTGGATGAATCTCACATGAATTGTGCTAAGTGACAGAACTTAGACTTAAAGCTGACCTTTTGTGACATTTGGGATATAACAAAATCATCAGAACTGAAAGCACATAAGTATTTGTAAGAGTAAAAGATATGGGAGGGATTGACTTTCTGAGTAGTGAGAATTTTTGTTGTTTTTCTAAATCATTGTGCTGGTCACGTTTCCATATATTCCTCATAGTCTTTGCAGCTGTGTACTGTAAAGAAAAGAAGGAAATTGGTTTAGGGTCAGGAATCTTGGGGTTTTGGCATTATTTTTATATGTGTTGTGTACTATTAGTTCAGTGGTAAGCCAAAGCAGATGCAGGTCTGCCCTCATATCGTTCCTTAGCTCTTTTGTTGTTGTTGTTCTGAAGATTGAACTCAGGACCTTGTACTTGCCAAGCACACACTGTGCTGCTGAGCTCTACCCCTGACCCGTAGAACTCCTTAAAATGAAATAAAACAAAGTGCTGCCTGACCTAGAAATAAGAGGTCATGCTTGAAACAGCCAGAAACAAGATAGAAAGACATGAGTATATCAGTCGTGCAATGGCAGACCGGTCTCACACCGGGCTCGTAGCTGCTCTCCAGAATTCAGTCTGGTCCTGCACGTTATTTCTGGGGGCAGATTTAAAAATAAGTGGAGAAGTGAGCAACGCTGCTAGGAAAAAAAAAGTGTTCTGCAATGAGGAAGGCTTTTGAGGGCAAGAAGGCAAAGGCAATTCAGAAGAGATTTTGATGCAGGAAGAAAACATATTCTTATTTGTAATGATTTAGTAATTTTTTTACTTTAAAAAGAAAAATGATGACACAGAATTTCAAAACAGAATAATAGGAGTTTAACAATAGTTAAAATATTGTATATTGTTATCTTCAAAGTAGCTGCTCAGATACAAGATATAGTCAAGAAAATTTGATCAAACCATGAAAGCACAAACCATTCTTTTCTATGAACTAATAACAATTAGCAGTATTATCTATCATATATATATATATGACTTTCAATTGATTGAACAAGTCTTTTCACTCTGTTGTTGATTTCTTTTGATGTGCAAAACCTTTTTAATGAGATGAGATCCTAGCTGTTGTTTCTTTGAAGTACTTCCCATGCAGTTTGTGTTTTCTTCATATGAAATCTCTGCCTACTCCTAGATCTTCAAGATTTCTACCTTCTTTGTCTTCCACTAGACTTAGTGTTTCTGCTTTAATATTTAGATCTTTGATCCACTTTTATTTTAGTGCATGGTGTTATACATGTGTCTAGTTTTAATCTTTGGTATGTGGAAAGTCAGTTTTTTTCAGCACCATTTGTAAAGAGGCTATCTTTCTTCCAATGAACATGTTTTGCCCTTTATTCAAACATAAGGTAGGTAAGTATGCTTGTGGTTGGGTCTGCATCTTCTGATTGGTTCTACTGATCTTTAGGTCTGTTTTTTTTTTGCCAGTACCATACTGATTTTATCACAGTAGTTTTGTAGTATAATTTCAAGTCAGAGATTGTGATACTCCTGCCTTGCTTTTGTTGCCTAGTGTTGCCTTTGCTATTCTAGGTCTCTTCTGTTTCGAAATGAATTTTAGGAATGTTTTCTCTAGATCTATGGGATGTCCCAATGGTATTTTGATTGAGATTGCATTAAATCTTTATAACAGTTTTGAAAATGTAGTCATTTTCACAGTGTAGGTTCCTCTTATCCATGAGCAAGGGATATCTTTCTGTTTTCTGATACCTTCTTTGATCTCCTTTTTCAGAGAACTATAATTTTCAATATATAGGTATTTTGCTTGTGTTGTTGGACTGATTCCTAAATATTTCATTCTTGGGGTTGCTATTGTGAAAGATGTTGTTGCCCTAGATTTTCTCTCAGTGAATTAGTTGTTTCTGTACAAAAATGCTATTGATTTTTGAAGTGTTGATCTTATATCCAGTCATGCTGCTGAATTTGCTTATTAAATCTAATAGTCTTTTGGTAGAGTTTTTGAGGTTTTTCTATGTAGAATATCATATCATCTGTGAATAATGATAATTTAACTTCTTCATTTCCTATTTTTATTCTTTTTATATTTCTCTCCTGTCTCATTGTTCTGGCTAACATTTCTAGAGCTATATGGAATAGGAGGGGTGGTGATAGTGGACATCCTTGTCTTGTTCCTGATTTTAGGGTGAAAGCTCTCAATTTTTGTTTTCATTTATGATGTTGGCTATTGATTTGTCATAGATGATTTTTATCAGATTAAAGTAAAGACCCTCTATTCTGATTTTCTTTAGCGTTTTTGTCATG